TCCTTGCTTATTAACATTTGAAGAAGAGATTTGTGAGCAGATTTGAGAGCAGATTTTCCCAGTGTAATGCATCTTTTGATTTCTTGGCTGCTGATACTACTGGTGTTGATTGTAGATCCAGGGAAAGTGAGATCTTTGACGGTGTTAATTAAGAAAGGCGAGAAGTTATCTTCCGTATTTCCTGGTACAGACTGAGCCTGTCCAGGGCTGCTTCTATTTGCTGAAACACCTTAATTGGTATTCCATCAATTCCTGGCACCTTATATTTGCCAGTGATTTCAGTGCCACTTGGATTTCTTCCTTCAGTACCGTTGGTTCTTGTTCACATGCTACTTAATGAAATAATTTCATGCCAGTCAGTCATTTGAGGTACAGTGACTTTGTGTATTCCTTTCATTGTCTTTTGATACTTCCTGTAACTTTCAATATTTTACCCACAGAATCCTTCAGGATTGCAGTTTGAGACTTGAGTTTGTTCTTCAGTTCTTTCGACTTGAGAAATATGAATTTCTTCTTCCTGTTTGGTTTTCAAGCTTCTGGTCTTGGCATATTTTGTCAAAATACTCAATCTTCCATTTTGGCTTTAACTTTGTGGCACCAGGCTTATCATTGCTGATGTCAGATGGATCCTGTCTGAAAATAGGGAATACTAGAAGAATGTCTTTTTGTGTTCTATTGATTATGAAAAGGCTTTTGACTGTGTGGATCATAACAAGTTGTGGCTGACATTGAAAAGAATGGAGAATCTCAGAATACTGAACTGTGTTCATGCAAAACCTGTACCTGGACCCAGGAGGCTGTTGTGTGAACAGAGCAGGGAAATACTGCATGGCTTAACATTAAGAAGGAAGTACATCAGCATTGCATTCTCTCTCCATATCTGTTCAGTCTGTATGCACATTATTCAAGAAGCTGAACTCTGTGGAGTGTGGCATTGAAGTTGGAGGGAGACTCATCAACCTAGTTAATGCAGATGACACAACCCTGCTTGCTGAAAGTGAGGAGGATTTGATGTACTTGTTGCAGAACATCAAGGAATGTAGCCTTCAGTATGAATTGCATCTCAATGTCAAGAAAACAAAGATTGTTACCACTGGACAGTTAGGCAACATCATGGTGGATGGAGAAGAGGTTGAAACTGTCGGCAACTTTATCTTCTTTGGATCCACGATTAACACCCTTGGTCCCCGCAGTCAGGAAATCAGGAGATGTATTGCATTGTGAGTCTCCAGTTAGGGACTTCTCCAAAATCATTGAGGAGCAATGATGTCAGTTTGAGGACTAAGGTGCATCTGATTCAGGCCATGGTATCTCTAATCACTTGCTATGCATCTGAGAGCTAGACAGCGAATAAGAATGACAGAAGAATTCATGCCTTTGAGCTGTGGTGTTGGCACTGAACATCCCATGGATGGCTGAAAAAAAAATGTCTTGAAGAAGGTGCACCTGGAGTGCTCTTTGAAGGCAAGGATGATGAGGCTTCTCCTCATATACTTTGGAAATGTTGCTCTTCCTTGGAGAGGGACATGATGCTGGGAAGGGTAGAGGGTTGGTTAAGGAGAGGAAGACCCTCAACCAGGTGTATGGATATGGTAGTGTGTCAGGAAGTGTGAGGATGGCGCAGGATAGAACGTGGTTCAGATCCACTCTTCATAAGGTTGTAATGAGTGCTACTCAACCCGACAGCACCTAACAACAAAGTCACAAATAATTCCAAGTAAAATTGAGCTTGACTTTTCCATTTTTGCAATTAAGGATGCTGGAATTTTGATAAGGATTGCATTTGATCTGTAAGTGGCTTTGAGTAGTGTTGACATCTTAACAGTATTATGTCTTCTTTCCCATGAACATGCAGTGTCTCCATTTATTTAGATTGGTGGTTGCTGTTGTCTTACTGTGACCTGATGTGCACCAGAATGAAACATTGCCTAGTTCTGTGTCATTTTCATTGTCACTGTGTCATTTTCATTGTTCAAGTTTATCGTACCCTTTGTGCCAGTTTTTCTTACCAAGGGTTTTTATGGCTCTTGCTGGCTGTGATGTGATGTGTCACTTTAATGGCCTTTCTTTGCATGATTGTGTAACTTTTATCAAATGATTGGTTGGGACTGTGGAGTCCTGGTGGTGTAGTGGTAAGGAGCCGCGCTGCAATCCCGAAGGGACACGGTTTAAATCTCCTGGTTGCTCTGAGGGAGAAAGATGGGCAATCTTGTCCTGTGTGATCAAACTGCCTCTGAAAACCCGCTGGAGGGTCAGCTGTGGGTCGGTTCCGAATGGGCAGTACACAGCAACAACAACAAGCAGCAGCACCTAAGTTATGGTCCTCCAAGAGGTCAGCTTGCGGGTGACACAGTTAAGGTGTATGACACCCTTGTTGGGGTGTGGCCATGCAAATGAGGTGTTATGTGTGGAGCTCCAACAAAGGCATTTTGTGACAGGCGTTGCCATCTCACTAGCCTTATAATGAGCTGTCTCAGAGACAAAAAGAGAGGACATAACTACTATCAAGAAGAGGAGGTGGGAGGTGAGCACGCGGTTAGGACCCAGATTCTCTGTGACCCGTGAGGCAGAGGGTGAAAGATGGTGAGACGCAGTGGGCAGCAGAACCAGGAGACTTGCAGGATGGCTTTCCAGCGCACAGCCAAGCCCAGGGCTGTGACAGCCCTTGGAGGGAGAGAGCCCAGTGTCTCTGGGCAGAAGGCTTTCTGTGGAGGGAGGAACCTCTGGGTACTTGTCAGTGGAGCTGCCTTAAGCTTGCTGATCCCAGAGCAAGGGAGCTGGGCTTGTTCTAGCTAAGGCTTGCTGACAGAATGACTGGACTTACAGACAGACCGTGCTATGGAAGGGATGGCCTGTGTCGGAATTGGTAAACAAGGTTGGAGGGAGGAGCTACGTCTGACCTTTGTTTCATAAGATTCTTCTCCCCCCTTGGAAAGTGGAGGAGGTCACGTGCCCCCCTCTGCCATGTCCTTTAGCTCACTGGCCCTCTCCTTCATCAAACATGACGCCTCCACAAGTGAAAATCCCTCCCGATGGATGCTTTGTCCAAAGCAAGCTCACTGGACAGTTCTCTGTAGCGATTGCCAAGTTTTCTGGGGCTGGTTTTCCAAAGCAGATGAGTCAGAACTTTCCTCTGTTCTGTTTAAGTCTGGTGGCATTGCTGGTACCTGTGCACCGTGGGTGACCCTGCTGGTGTGTGACACACTGCAGACACAGCTTCCAGCATTCCATTCTAGTGGCAATAAGAAAGCCACTTAAAGGGAGCTCTGGTTGCCTGGTGACAAGAAGGTGCACTGCATTCGCAGAGGTGTGCCGTTCAAATCCCCCAGATGCTCTGCTGGAGAAGGAGGGGCAATCTCCTGTACCAGTCAGATCCCATCTGATGGTACACACACAAAAGAATAAGCCTCTTAAATACAGATTGTCTTCCATTTGTTTAGATCTTCTTTGGTTTCCTTCCTTAGTGTTTCATAGTTTTCTGTGTATAAGTCTTTCCTGTATTTTATAGAGAATAAAATACATATTCTTAGGTATTTTAGGTGCTATTAAAGATTGGCTTGTGTTTTTACTTTTCTTTTGAGATTGCTCATGGTTGATGTAGAAATATCACTGGGGGTTTTTTTTTAGAATGTGTGTGTTGATTTTGTACTTTGCCAGTTTGTTGAATTCATTTATTGTATCTAATAGCTTCTTTCTGGACTCTGGGATTTTTTTTTATGTGAAAGCTTGCCAGTCTGCTAAAAAAAAAAAAGTTTATGTTCTTCCTGATTTAAATACATTGTCAATCTTTTTCTTATCTAATGACTTTGACACATTGCCCAGTACAATATTGAATAATAGTGGGATATGTATCCTTACCTTGTTCCTAATCTTAAATGGACTCACAGTTTTTGATGCTGTGAAATAACTTTTTAACTTGTTTCTTAAATTTGGATTTCAAAAGTGTCAAGAAATTTAACCAAGGTTCCATGGTGGATTTTGCTGAAAAGCTGTTACCTTTTTAAAATAACTTCCAGCTATAAATGAATTAGAGTTAGTTTAAAGTATCCAGTAAAGAGCAATATTAAATGTCCTTGGCCAAATTTATATTTGCCAGTGTAATCACCATCCAGGTAAAGAACACTGTTAAGTTCCTTTGAAAGTAGGAATCCATGATGGGAGGCAGTGACTTTTGTCCAGAGACTTTGGAGAATGTAGTTTCCCTAACTGGGCTACAAAGCAGTGAATCATTCTTCATATGGCAAATATAATACTCACTTTATTATTTTGTAATTAAAATAACTTAGATGGTATTTTAGCTTCCATAGTTTTAGGTCAACTGATTTTTCATTTGCTAAAAAAAAAAATCATCAGTAACTGAACAGTTGGATTAGAGATTTTAGTGTTTGGTTTGTTTTTTTTTTTGTTGTTGTTGTTGTTGTTTTTAAAATTTAAAAGACATTTGTGGTTTAATATACACACAACCAACAAAACATAAAACAATTCAGCAGTTGTGCCTGTCTAATTCAGTGACACTGATTCCAGTTTTTGAGTTGTTCAGTAATCTTTACCCTCCTTTTCTGAGTTCTTCTCCCCCCTTTAACATGTGTCTGATGATTTGCTAAAGTTCCTGCCTAATCTTTTAAGTTGCTGCTACCAATTTAGTCCTCTTTAGCTAATTCTTAAAAAAGTGTAATTGCAACACAGGCTTTTGTAACTACTTAAGCTAAACTGTTGTTTATTGAATCTTTGTTATTTGAGCTCCCTAGTTTGGATATTCAAAACGTTAAGAAAGCTATGCCACTTAAAATTTCCCTTTAGCTTTGTTAGTTAACATTTTTGGCGTATGACCTATTTATAGTTAGCATACTTTAATTCTCTCTTGTGGTGCGGGCTAGTTTGGGGTAGGATAATGACCATAACTAATTTCTTTTCTTGCCCATCTTCTGTCTCCAGGTGTGGAAATCAACAGGTCTTCGAGTTTTTGCATCGCTTTAATGTCACAGTGTCTCTGAACTACAATGTTCCTGATGCCGTCCTCTTCAGAATTCACCAGTGGGCAGAACTTCCTGACCCAATGGATGACCAATCCGTCTCGAGCCGGGGTCATATTAAACCGTGGCTTTCCTGTTCTGGAAGTGGAAGGAGAGAATCAGGCAGCTGGGAGCCTCTCTACAAGTTTCCCTATTAAAGCCCCCCACTTTTCAAATAGCTTCAGCTTTACCAGCGAAGAAGATTCACTTCACAAAGAACAGAAGTCAGAGTCTAGCACTTCTTACAAATTACCGTCAGATACATCCAAAACGAGTCCAGCCTTTTCTGTGACTAAAAAGGGACCACAGATAGTGACGTGTCAGGATGTTCCTGGACACTGGGAAGATAACAAAAACGGTATCATCCTAGATCTTCCGAACGAATTCAAAGAAACAGCTTACAAAGACCCACTTTTTAAAAAACTTGAACAGGTAGGGGAGAATTACTTGATTACATTACTGCAGGTTTCTTGAAAAGTCATCTCGTTCGGGTCCTTCTGTTCATTCTCTCTCACTCTAAAATACTAAAAAATACCAGTTTTTTTCCTTGGTCTAATGCAAAGCTTTAAAACATATTTAACATGTAAAATAGACATAACAATATCTTTAAGCTGCCACTGCATTTGGTAAAACAAAGTTTGTGATGGTTGGTCAGCTGCTGGGGGGAGCTGGGAGCTGTTGATCACAAATATTGTTTACCTTCTGTAAGAATCAAATACAACAGCTTCTATTTTTTAAAAAAATTTTTTAAAATTTTATTATTTTTTGTGTGTACCGTCAAGTCAGATCTGACTGGTACTGGAGAAGATTGTCCCTCCTTCTCCAGCAGAGCATCTGGTGGGTTTGAACCGCACACATCTGGGATTGCAGTGCAGCTTCTTGCTGTTAGGCAATAGCTTCTATTTCTTAGTTGAGATAATTGATGGTTTCCTTTATGGGATGTGGATTTTAGATTTCTAGTTGCAGGTTTAGTTTAGTTAAGAATCCTTCCTGGAAGCATTTTTTTTTTATTAGAGAAGATAAGAAAAAGGAGGTGACAGGCAAAGAAAAATCTGAGGAATGAGGGTCTGTAAAGAAATACAATGTTAATTTTTTAATTTTATTAAATTTTATTAATTTTAATGAACATTTACAGAGATTTGGGGTTTCCATTCATTCATTGTTACAGTGTTAATTTAATGAAGTTAATTTTGTGTTTCAAAAGTTAAAAGAAGTCCAGCAGAAGAAACAGGAACAGTTGAAGAGGCAGCAGTTGGAGCAGCTGCAGAGACTCATGGACGAACAGGAGAAGCTGCTCACGATGGTGTCCGGCCAGCACGCCTTCCCAGGTGATTGTGCTTACACGCGCCTGCACATGTCACGGGCATGTCGAGTTGTGCACACTGCGTAACCTCGGTGACTCGACAGTCTAATTTCTCCGTCTGTCTCATGCTGCGCACTCTCAGCATCCCAGCAGAAAAATGTGGGAATCTGTAGCCGTTTTTATTAGGTGCAGTGAAGTCGAGTACAACTCAGAGTGACCATATGAACAGAAGATCTGACCCCTGTTCTGTCCTGTGCCATTCTTGTCATCTCTGACACACTTGTGCCCATTGCTGTAGTCACTGTCAATCCATCTCATTGAGGATCTTCCTCTCTTTTGCTGAGCTTCCAAGCATCATGTCCCTTTTCAAGGAATAGCCTCTCCTAGCAACATGCCCGACGTATGTGAGATGTGGCTTTGTCATCCTTGTCTCCAATGACTCTGATTACCCTTTATCCAAGACATATGTGTTTGTTCTTTTGGCATCCCGTGGAATGGGTCCATACTCTTCTCCAACACCGCAACTCCAAGGCATCAGTTCATGTGTCATCATTATTCGTTGTCTAGCTCTCAGATGCAGTGGTATTGGCGGACTGTAACTGAGAACTGTGACATTCTGGAGCTCGCTTAAGAGTATTCACATTTATTTAAGAAACAGAAAAGGAAAAGGCCCAACAGAAGCTAACTTTGGATTAAGGGTATTGTTTCTTAGCTGCCTGATAAATGAAAAATTCCTTGGAATTGGAAAGGTAACCATGTTCCACAGCTATACCAGAAATACTTTGTGGTTGTAGATGATAGTATCCTTTTCTAGGGTGCTAGATGAATTAACAGGAAGCATGTTATGCTTGCTTATGGGGAGGAAAAAGAACTCTTGAAATGTGATACAGAGGGGTGGCCTTAGAGGCTTTTGACTGCATTCCATAGTAACAGAAACATTTTATATCATGACGCATAGTGAAACAGACATTTCATAAATCAGCCCCTGTTAGTGTCCTGGCCTACAGTAAGGGATCTTCTGTTTTACTTAGTCTAATCCTTGTAATTTTAGACAATGTTGGTCATGATGCATCACATCTGGTGGTGATACTCTTCTCCAGCACCACAGCTCAAAGGCATCAATTCTCTTTCTGTCATCCATAGATGCATAGCAAGTGATTGCAGAGACCATGTATCAGGGGCATCTTAGTCTCCAGACTGACATCATTGCTGTTCAGTACTTTAGAGAGGTCTCTAACTGCAGACTTTCCCATCATAGTAAGTCTTTTAATTTCCTGACTGCTGTTGCCAAAGTGTTGATTGTGGAGCCAAGCAAACTAAAGCTGTGAACAGTCTATCTCTTCATCCATCCATCATGATGCTGCCAGTCAGCTCAGTGGTGAGAATCTTTGTTTTCCTCAATCCATACTGAAGGCTACAGTCCCTGACCTTCCGCAGTGAGCGTCCTCTTCAGTTTCAGCAAGCAGGGTTGTATCACATGCATAATGCAGATTGTTGATGAGTCCTCCTCCAATCCTGATGCCACATTTTTCCTCATAGAACTCAGTCTCCCAGATAATTTGTTCTGCATATAGATTGAAAAGGGTATGGAGATAAGACACATCCCTGTCTTATACCCTTCCCATGCAGTGTTTCCTTGATACGTTCTGACGACTGCCTCTTGGTCCAAGTATAGGTTTCACCTTAGCATGATCAAGTGTTCTGGGATTCCCATTCTTCTCAGAGTTAGCCATAGTTTGTTGTGATCCACACAAACGCCTCTGCATAAACAATGAAACACAGATAGACATTCCTCTGGTACTCCCTGCTTTTAGCCAAGATCCATCTAACATCAGCTGGTAACACGACCCCATCTAAACCCAGCCTGCACTTCTGGTAGTTCTCTGCTGATGTGCTGTTCCAGTCATTTTTGGATAATCTTCAGCAGAATCTTGCTTGTATGTGATATTAATGATATTGTTCTATAGTTTCCACACTCTGTTGGGTCACCCTTCTTTGGGTGGGAACAAATATAGATCTCTTCCAGTCAGTTGGCCAAGTGGTGTTCTCTAGATTTCTTGGCACAACTTGGTGAGCACATCCTGGGCAGCATCTGTTAGTTGAAATACCTCAATTGGTGTACCATCTATTCCTGGGGCCTTATTTTTTGCCAATTCCTTCAGAGCAGTTTGAACTTCTTCCTTCATCATCATAGGTTCTTGCTCATTTGTTCATTGATATTGTACCAAAACTCACAAATGGTTGTTTCTGAGTCGTTATTTGCCATATGTATTGTGATCCCAACTAATTAACTTTGTAATGATACCTTGATACTTTGAAAGAATATTATAGCATTCATGATTTGGTAATGTGCACTGATAACTTGAAAGAAAATGGTCCACTGAGTTATTGAGATCTTGAGAATGTTGAAAGTTTTCCTTATACAGTATTAAATGTATATGTCCATTAATAGGCTGTTGGCCAGTTCTGGTGACCTAGTAGTCAGGAGTTGTGCGTCAGCCCCGAGGCATGTGATTCAAATTCTCTAGCTCTTCCGTGGGAGAAAGGTAGGAATTCTCCCATGTGATTTACAGCTTCTTAAAACCTGCTAGAAGGTCAGTTATGCATTGGTTCCAATTTAATGTTGTTGTTGATTGCCTTCAAGTGGAGCACGACTCAAAGCGACCCTATGAACAAAAGGCCTGAAACCTCATAAAGCTATCAACATTTATCAAAGTTCATAGAGTTTCCAGAGGCATGTTGTTTAGGAAGTGGATGTCACTTTGATGATACATAACAATATACTATTGATATAATTGATGAATTTCCATGATGTCATAAATACATTTCCCAAGATTACAATTTTCACTTGAAAGTGAAATTTATTCTTTTTTTTTAACAGCTTATTCTTTCAATTTAATTTTCCCCCATTCATTCATTGTTGCACATTTTCCTCCCTGCCCACCTCTCCCCCCAGTTCATTCTTCTCTTTGAAGAAAAAAAAATTCTTTCATTGTTATACAATCCTGTCCACTCCACAGTCCACATTAACATGCTGGGGCTTTTTCTGACATACTTTGGACATGTTGTAAGGAGAGACAGGTCCTTGGAGAGGTACAACATGCTTGGTAGGGTAGAGGGACAGCACAGGAGGGGAAGACCCTCTATGAGGTTGCTTGATTCAGTGACTGGGGTAATCGGGATGGTTGTGTCAGAGGCAATGCAATTGGCACAGGATAGAGCAGGGTTTAGGGCTGTTGGACATAGGGTCGCTGTGAGTCGCAAACGACTCGACAGCACATAACAACAACATGTTTCTTTTAAATAGTTCTCTCCCTCATCTGTTTTAGTGCAGTATATATTATTTATCCCCTCTTTTCTTAGGTTCCTGCCAACCCTGATGTCAGTCCCATTTTGCAACAGTGACACTATGCAGTATTAGTCCTTTTATGACTGAGATATTTCACTCAGGTGACTCCAGGGTCACCCATTTTGAATAATATTGCATGAGTTCCTTGTTTTTCAATGCAGTGTAGTATTCCATTGTATGGAATATACCACAGCTTCTCTATCCATTAGTTTGTTGATAGGCACTAGGATTGTTTCCAACTCCTTGCTGTTGTGAACAAAGCTGAGATAAACATGGGTGTGCATATATCTGCTTGGGTGGTGGTTATGGTTTCTTTAGGGTAAATTCCCAGTAGTGGAATTGCTGGGTCAAATGGTATCTCTAGTTGCAACTTTTTGAGACAGCACCACACCACCTTCCACAGTGGTTGCACCATTTTATAGTTCACCAACAGTGAATAAGGGTTGCAGTTTCTCTACAACCTTGCCAGCCTTTGTTGTTTGCTACTCTGTTGAATTTTGCTATTCTTACAGGGGTGAGATGATATCTCATAGTTGTTTTTGAAATTTATTCTTGACAGCAAACACTGTGTCACTGGGTTTCCGTGACGTGACTCATTCTGTTCCCTTGGTTCATCTTTGAGGAAATGTCTGCCACTCATCCAAGCGTAAATAATCATAGTTTTTCTTGCAACCTTTTAAAAACAAATTGTGTTTAGGTGAAAATGGACACAGCAAATTATGTTTCCCTTTTCAATAATTTATGCAGAAGTTATTCATTGATTTTGGTCACCTGTCCCCCAATATGCTGTCATTCTCATTTGTTCCTTGTGACTGTACCATTTCCAGTCCTCCTCCTTCTGTTGTTTCTGTTGTTTTAATTTCTCATACTATTTTATTGTGCTGTAGGTGAACATTTACACAGCACCTAGTTTTCCAGTTAAAGAACACACACAGATTGTCCCAGACCTTGATTGCAGTCTTGTCATAGGTCACTGCTGTCCCCATTTTCTCCCTCGCTCACTGGTTCGATTTGTCCAATTTCTCTGTCTTGTCGTCTTTGCTTTTGGATGTTGCTGTCCTTATGGTTGGAGCACAACACATAATGCACCATGCCATCTCATACTCGTTATTTCCCATAGGATGTAGACAAAATGCTTCTCCGATCTGCGTTGGATCCTTGCCGTTCCTTCACACCCCGTCTCCAGCCCACCCACCCACCCACCACCAATGTCTTGGTCATTTCTCCGCCCCATTTGCCACCCCCTTGCCTCCCTCCCCTTCACCTGTTGGACTTTTAACCACATCTTAACCAGTTATTCTTCTATTTTACAATAACAGTCTTACGCATTATCTGTCCTTATGAGACCAAGTTGATTCGTTCAACTTCATTCAAGTTGATTCACTCAACGTAATGCTCTCTAAACTCTGCATGTTTTATAATATTTTACAAAATTGTTGTTCCTTAGTGCTGCATAATAGTCCATTGTGTGAATGTACCATAATTTCATAATCCATTTGTTTTGTTGATGAGCATTTGGGCTGTTTCCATTTTTGGCTATTGTGAGTCAAGTTTCTGTGAACAGAGGTGTATATGTCTTTGTTTATGTCTCAGTTAGCTTTCCTTTGGAGTGTATTTGCCACCTCAATATTTGGCAGCAGGTGCATTCTCCACCTCATATGGTTGTTAAGATGCCCCATCCCTGACCAGGGCTGTCTCCTGGGCCAACAGAAACCATCTTTCTGAGTGGGGGCCCTGATCCTGGCGATAGCCTAGGATCGAGGTGCTCTTCCAGGTTGGATGCCCTGTTTCCACATATTGCTTGGGCAGATAAAAACGTCTATACAGACTGGACACTCCAGCTCCCAGGCTTCTGCGGAGTCACCAGAAAATTTGCCGAAGACTAGGAGCACTAACTGGGTGGCCACTCCCTGTCCTGGCCCCAGTTTTCTCATTTATTAGCCTGTCCTTTCTTTTTTGCGTGTTTTTTTTTCCTCGTCTTCCTTTCCAGTTCTTCTTGCACTGGGCAAGTCTCCTGACAAGGACCTCTGCAAATTATAGCAGAGCAACGATGTCAGTTTGAAGACTAACATGGCCTTGATTCTGACCATGGTATTTTCAGTCACTTGGGATACTGCTGAGAGCTGGACATTGAGTAAAGATAATAAAAGAATTGATGTCTTTGAACTGTGGTGTTGGAGAAGAGTACTGAATATCCCATAAAGTTACATATAAGATGTCTTGAAGAAAGTGTAGCCAGAATGTTCCTTGGAGGCAAGGATGGTGAAATTTTGTCTTGCATACTTGGGGCATGTGCTCGGAGAGGCTGTTTCTCGGAGGACATCACGCTTGGAAAGGTGGAGAGACTGAAGGAGAGGAAGACCCTCAACCAGCTGGTTCAACACAGTGACTGCTGCAATGGGCTTAAATGTGTCAGAGATTGTGAGGATGGCACAGGATAGGACAGGGTTCAGGTCTCCTGATCATCGAGTTATGAATTGTACTTGACTCATTGACACTAGTAACAGCAACAACTGAATCAAAGACAGTCTTAGCTGAAATGATTTTTTTTTTTTTAATTTAGAACCAGGTCGTGAAAAGTCCAGTGGAAGTACAGTTGGGTCCTGCTGCCCAGGTTTGAGTTAATGCACTCTCAGTTTTATGCATTGTTTTTGTGCCATTCGAGCAGATGTCAATACAATGAAAAAACCAAGTAGCATTTAATATTATGGAATAACTTTGATTTTATAGATGCCCTGAAAAGGGTCCTTGGGGCACCCGGCGTTCTATAGCCTATACACATTGAGATTTGTTTAGTCAAAGACAACCTCAGGCTGACGTGGGCAAACAGTTGAGGAGGGAAGGGTATGTGTGTAGAGAAAGTGGGATTAAACTTTGTATTTGTTTAGGTCCTACTTGAGTCTGTAGGGTTTTTTGTTTGTTTTTTCTGAAGTAGGAACAAGATAAATGGGGTTGAAATGATAGATGGTGCAAGAAAAAAAAAGGAAAAAAGAAATGATAGATGGCTGTGGTTCTTATAGGACACACTTCCCACTTGTGTCTTTTTTACGGTTAGAGGAGAAAGTCTGGGAGGAGGGAGGGCCAGGAGAGGATTTCCCAGAAATGTTGCACAGCACTGTACTGTTTGGGGGCATTTTCTTTCTGTTTACTAGGCTTTTGCAAAAACAGATTAAAAAAGCAAAACAAATAGAGCAGAATATTTAGAAAAGTATGACTAGGAAAGTCAGCTATAGTTCCTTCCCTTTCCCCTGGGAAACTGTTACTAGTAGAGACCGTACCTTTTAAATGCTGTGATGCTGACCCGATACTGATCCTAAAGGAACACGTCGGCTCGTGTGGGAACGTCTGCTGCAGGGCTGTGTCTGCCTGGTGCAGGGCTGTGTCTGCCTGGTGCAGGGCTGTGTCTGCCTGCTGCAGGGCTGTGTCTGCCTGCTGCAGGGCTGGGCAGCCACGTGACTCCAGTGAGTATGAACGGGGTCGTATATGAGCAGCAGAGAGGAAGCTGCGTCGGACAGAGTGTCTGCACATACAGCGCAGTACAAGTATCACATACTTAAAAGGATATTACGTTCACTTAGAAATTTTAAATTTTCTTGGTTTTAATAAACCCCATTTTCTAGCTACTAAGGAGAACAAATGAACAACGTGTGTGTGTGTGTGTGTGTGTGTAAAATGGTAATGATAGAAAGTTACATTCCCAAAGAGGTGGTCCTCCCTGCCTGAAAGGAGATTGATGGACCTCCCTGCCTGAAAGGAGATTGAAAGGAGATATGGAGGGAAAGCTGAAATGAGTCTCTTTTGTTTGGAGTATAGTTTATGAGACGGGGGTTGTGAATAGACTGAAGACGCTACAGAGAGCCGTCAACTTTTGGTTTTTTCCCTTGCAAGCTTCAGCCCTGCTGCCTGATGATCAGAGCCAGAAGTCCAGGTCTCCAGGCCAGTCAGCCCCCGGGGACAAAACTCCGCCCTTCCTACCGTCATTGACCCACCAGACTCAAGCGCAAGACAAATGCAGCCTTTTATCGGATGAACAGAGCAATGTCTGTAGAGCTATACCTCAAGATTTTGTCTTGGCGTCAAAGAGCGGTGCTTCTCCCACTTTGTATTACGAGGCAGAGAGTCAAGAAGCACTTGTGAAAGAAAATGATTTCAAAGGAGAAAGCCGTCTGCATCCTGCAGGTGAGTTACTGAGTTATTTTCCCGGGACAAGAGATTCTTTACTGCATTTCCTCCCCTGTTCCAACCTTGACTTGTCAGACCTTGGTGACCTAGTGGGAAAGGAATTGCACTGCCAGTCCAAAGGCACATGGTTCGAATCCACCAAGGGATTGCTCTCACCAAGGGAGGAAGATAGGCCATCTCCTGTTTTGCAGTTTACAATCTCTGGAACCCCCTGGAGGGTCAGCTGTGAGTTGGTTCTGACTTGATGGCACATGACAACACAGGCCGTGCAGGGAACCGAGTGTTTGGTTGTGAACCAAAGGTCACAGCTTATACCTGCACAACTGCTGTGAAGGAGAAGGGTGAGCAGTGGGCTTCCATAAAGATCCCAGCCTTGGAAACGCGGGACGCAGGTCTGCTTTGCCCTGTAGGATGGCTGGGAGTCAGAATGGACCTGCCAGCACTGGATACTAGTAGATCAAACCATCTGCGTCATGGATCCAACTGCGTTCCCCTGAAATACACATGTCAACTTGACTAAGCCTTGGTCATCAGTGTCATTGTCATATGTTATAAATCCTAACCTCTGTGATGTTAATGAAGCAGGCCTAAAGGCATGTCAGCAATGATGTAATCTCCTAGTGTAACCTGATGTGATCAGCCAATCAGTCATGAGGATGTTAGGCTGAGAGGCAAAACCCTTTTTATCAGGTCACAACCCTGATCTACTGAAAAGGGGTTGTTTGTTTCCCTGAGGGGTAGGGTCTTTTGTCTTGAAGAGATAATAAAGGAGCGAGAGGTGAGCAAAGAGGGGAGAGATAGGAGAAGGGGCACACTTCTGTAACACCAGGAGAGAAGACCTTGGAGTGATGTACATCATTTGAACCCAGTTTCCTGGGCCAAGAGACTGTGAGAATCAGATCTAGAGAAAGCCTTCCCCTAAAGCCTGAATTTGGATTTCAGATCTCCTAAACTGTGAAGGAATAAATCTCATGCTGAAAGCATCTACTCAGTGATAGTGATATCACTGTTAAAACAGCTCTAGATAACAAAACAAACTGCTGAGCTGACTTGGATCCAGAACATTCTAGGAAAGTGTGAGCTTCAAAATAACTCAGGCTGACTTCAAAGCTAAACAGAGGAAGGTCATCGAATGGCAAACAGACACATGAAATGCTCCAAATCTCTGACAATAAGAGAGATGCAAATCAAAACCACAATGAGGTACCATCTCATTCTAGTAAGAGTGGCAAAGTTTAGCAGAGCAGGAAGTAATAGATGTTGGAGAGGATGTGGCGAGAAAGGAACTCTTACACGTTGTTGGTGGGATTCTAAAATGGTGCAACCACTCTGGAAGGCAGTTGGGCGCTTCCTTAAAAAGCTGAACATACAAATTCCATATGAGCTAGCTATTCCACTAGTGGAATACACCCTGAGAATATGAGAACTGCGGCACCAACTGAGATTTGTACACCAGCATTCATAGCAGCATTATTCACAATCGCAAAAACATGGAAGCAGCCCAGATATCCAACCACAAACGAATGGATTGAGAAATTATTGTACATTCACACAGTGGAATACGGTGTAGCACACAGGAGCAATAACTTTGTAAATTATTACCTAACTTGGGAGGGACTGGAGAGCATTATGCTGAGTGAACTAACTCTGTCCCACAAGGATAAATAGTATATAAAACCATTATTGTAGAATGAGTATAAGGATCCAAGAGGGGTGGGAGAGGGTGGAAGCAGAGGGATGAGGATGTGCAGGGGGAGGGGAGATTAATCATGGCGTTGTACAATTTGATAGGAGGGGTGAGGCAAATGAAAATAAACTAGTAGAAAATTTTTTTAAAAAGCTGAACATAAAATAGAGTCTCTAAAAAGAGAGGCAATATTACCGTTATAGCTTTAGAGTTTATAAAAGAATCTGAAGTTGTTTTAAGGTTCGTGTAGTACCTAGAGGCATGATAGAAAATGAGAAATACAGTAATTAGGTTGACAGACGTTACTACTCATAAAAAAGGGGGAAGGATCGCACTCTTACCCAGACACTCAGCTTATTCATCTACTTGGCCTCCCTAGCTTGTTCCTGGGAAATTGAACATAGCAGTTCTGATGTATTTTCTAGTCTCATTTTTAGCCCTATTCTCACGTTTCTTTTGTGTTTTTTTTTTTTAAACCCCACCTGTTATATAATTCAGGCAGCCTTTGGGTTACAAACTGCCAAGTTACAGATTAACTCTGTTTCACTTTATTTTGTTTTTCTTTTAATATAGAGCTTCCAGCTAGTTCTGTCCTGGCCATTCAAATGTAACAAAAAGAGCCAGGATATTTACAATTTATGTGATTTGTCCTGGTAATTGAACAGAAAACTAAAGGACCAAAGCCCTGAAACAGGAGACTTGAGGAGGTCTGGCGACCCTTTGAGCAGCCTGATGGGTGGGACTGGAGTATGGATTCTGTGGAGACCCTCACAGTCAGAGGAAGGCTGTCTGTCTCCATATTTACGCAGGGTGCTGCCATTTTTGAAGTTTTCCAATTAAATGAAATTTGCCCTAACCTTGAAACAATTGAATCAGCCCACAGTACAGCAGGTGCAGCTTTTAAAGACTTGAAGGGGCCTTGGGCCTTGTGCTAAACGTAGGCTAAATGAGCAGCAGCTCCGACATAGGAACACCTTGTTTATAGCCAGGAGACTGCCAGTGTGAATGTATCACTGCCCCACTCAGGACTGGAAAGGCGGTGGCATGTTCTGTTTGCTTGATAGCCTTAATTTTGATGGTTCTGTTTCAGCAGCGGGCTTGTGTTCTAGAGAGGCCGGAGGTAGCTCAGGATAGGGCTGGGGTCACTCTGGCTCTTCATAGGGTCGAGTTGTATTCCATTCAGCGGCACCTAACAACAACAGCATGCTGTTCATCACGTTATATACCAGCATTCAGTGTTCTCTGTGGCTGGCTAAGTTGTTCTCAGTGTCTTTTTAGTCAGAAATCTAAAATCCCAGGGGAGCTCTGGTGGCCTAGGGGCAAGGAGCTGCAACTACAATCCCAGAGACAAACGGTTCGAATCCACCAGATGCTCTGCCGGGGAAGGAGGGACAATCTCCTCCTGTACCAGTCAGATCTGATTTGACGGTACACTCACATAAAAATAATAAAATTTAAAAAAATTTAAAAGAAAAAAAAAGAAATCTAAAATCCCTGTAAATGTTCATTAAAATTAATAAAATAAAATGAAAAAGAATTCAAATAAGAATAAATAACATTACTTAAAATTGGCCACTTTGGTATACTGTCTAATTCCTGATTCAGAATTCATTCTTTGTTATACCCGCTGCCTTATAGAGACCCAGTGGGGAAAACTAAAATTGTCCTAGGCTTTCCACACCGACAAGTGTTGAGGGTTGAAGCAAACGGCCTTCTCTTTCTTCTGCTGAGCACCAGTCACGTTCAGACAGCTGACATTTCAGTTAGCAGATTAACCCTTAACTCGCGGTGCCACCAGCTCCTCCTTTATTCCGTTGTCTGGAAAGATGAATGTCTGTCTGTCTTGGAGAAGGATGGGCACTCTCCTCCTGTGTGATTTACTGCTGCTGCAAACCTGCTGAGGGTCAGCCGTGAGTCGATTCTGACTCGATGGTACCTCACAAAAACAACAAGGCCTTTTTCTGCCTCTGAATTTTATTTTACATTTTTATATCTGTTCATTCATTGTTGCACACTTTCCTCCCTGTCCCCAGTTCGCTATTCTCTTTGACAAATAAAAAAAAACAAACCAAAACTTTCATTGTTATACCGCTCCCTCCCCCCATCCAATCCACAAGGCAGGTTTCATTCTGGACTCTTGTCATGATACTTAATCATATATTCCTTCTAAACAGTGCTCTTCCTCTTCTGTTTCAATGCAGTATATATTATTTATCCTTTCTTAGTTTTCCCCCAAGTAATTTCATGTAGGCTTTTATTTTGGAAAATCTTACATACCTAGAAAAATTGAAAGATGACTGTTATGAACACCAGCTGGTAAATATTTTTATTTACTGTTTTTGTTGTTAAGTGCTGTCGGGTCTTAGACGACTCATTGCAACCCTATGAATGGAAGACCTGAATGCTTGTATAAACTTTTCATCGTTTCTCCACATTCATAGAGTTTCTGGAGGCTAGCTGTTAAGGAAGTGGATGCCATTCCTGCTTCCAAGCTTGTTTTAATCGGGGAGCTCCACCAAACACTGCCCACCGTGGGTAACCACTATCACATTTGACACTTCAGTGGCACAGTGTTTAGTATCACAGCAACCACGAGTTACCTCTGTACAGCAAATGGAGACCAGTGCTATACCACTTAGAAGAATGTTTGACCAAAAACAATTAAAACCAGGCCTGAGGGCCACAGATTGAAATCACCCACCTTTGGCTTGGTAACATCACTTTCTATCCACTAGGCCAACAGAGCTCTCTCGTTGTTTTTATACCTAAATAACAATATTGTTATTATACCCAAGTAAAATAGCACTTTTTTTACTATCTAGTCTATTTTGAAATGTCTTCCTTATTGCAAAAAATGTTCCACTCAAATTCTTGAAGTATATTTTTTTATAATACTCTAGTTTTTTAATCTAAAAAAGCTCAGCTACTCCCTTAGTTGTTGTTTTCTTTTATTTTTTATTTTATGTGTGTGTGTGTGTGTGTGTGTGTGTGTACCGTCAAATCGGATCTGACTGGTACTGGAGGAGATTGTCTCTCCTTCCCCAGCAGAGCATCTGGTGGATTTGAACCATGCACCTCTGGGATTGCAGTGCAGCTTCTTGTCACTAGGCCACCAGAGCTCCCCTCCCTTAGTTGTTTTATTTTTGTTTGTTTTTTAAATGGCATAACCTTTAGAAAAATGCCAAATGTTTTATTGGGGGAGTTGTAATTTCTATCAGATGAGAGAAATACTTATCACTCATTACTTATAATTTAAAAAGTTTCTAGCACTGTAACTTATAAAATTCTCAAGCTTTAAGACATTAATCTGCTTTCATTGAATTAATGTGTTCCCTTTTTTTACTCTAGGAGGAGATATTTTACCATGTTGGGAGAAAATGACAGAACAGATTAAGGAAAGGAGTGATGTGAACTTTAATCAAATTGGTGATTCCTCAGAAGTGGTTAATATTGAAGAAAGGTATTCTCTCTATTGACAGGAGTAAGAAATGTGACAGGATAGTAGCCAATCTTTATTATTGAGCCGTTTCCTATTTTGAAAGAGCTGTAGTTTTAGAAATTTCCTTTTATTATGCTTTTAAATATAGAGGTTGAAAATATATGGGCAAGATAAAGGTTGGAGAGAGATCTAAATTAGCTTTCACATTATATTAATACACTTAAGGAAAATTTTTTCATCTAAGAAAAATGCCTGGATAATATAAATTGCCACTCAAAAGAGTTAGTAAATTCTATTTTAGGTAAAAACAAATTAAGTTTTGGAATCTCAAGTTTAGTATCACTGAAATTATAATTATTAATTAGTTATAGGTTAAAAATTCGTGCTAAAGATGAAATGTCTGTATTGAGGCTTTTGATGATTTTTTATGTATTTGAAATATTTTACTATGTCTTGTGGTATGAGTAGAATAACTTCTGATTGTTGCTCAGTTTACACTGTTTTGTGTGTTTTTTTTGTTTTTATTGTTGTGTACCATTGAATAATATCTGACTCGCACAGGAGGAGATTTCCCCTCTTTCTCCAGCAGAGCATCTGTTGGATTCAAGCCACATGCTTTTGGTATTGCAGTGTAGCTTCTTGCCGCCAGGCCACCAGAGCTCCCCTGCTTAAATTGTCAAGGACCTTTTTACCCTATAATTTTACAATGTTTAATTAAATATTTAAGAATATATTTTATGCTATTAATTAATATGGTACTCCAAAATTTAATGGTCACATAATTGATAGTGTTGTTGTTGTTGTTATGTGCCGTCGAGTCGCTTGCAACTCATAGCGACCCTATGTACAACAGCCCTAAACTCTGTTCTGTCCTGTGCCAATCGCACTGTCTCTAACACTCCCATCCCAATTACCCCAGTCATTGAATCAATCCACCTCATCATAGAGGACCTTCCCCTCCTGCACTGTCCCTCCACCCAACCAAGCTTGATGTCCCTCTCCAAGGACCGGTCCCTCCTCACAACATGTCCAAAGTATGTTAGACGGAGCCTCAGAATCCTTATCTCCAAGGAACTGCCCGGTTTAACCCTCTGCAGGATGAATCTGTTTTCCTAGCAGTCCATGGTACCCTCAAAACTCTCCTCCAGCACCACAGCTCAAAGGCATCAATTCTTTCTATCCTCCTTAGTCACTGTCCAACACTCTGATGCATAACAAGAGATAGCAAAGACCATGGCCTGTATCAGATGCACCTTAGTCTCCAGAGAGACACCATTGTTCTTCAGTATTTTGGAGAGGTCCTTAACAGCAGACTTTCCCATCGCAGTATGTCTTTTAATTTCCTGGGTGCTGGTGCCAAGAGTATTGACTGTGGAGCCAATCAAACTAAAGCTGTGAATAATCTCAATCTCTTCACAATCCATACTGATGCTTCCAATTGGTCTAGTGGTGAGAATCTTTGTCTTCTTGGCATTGAGCCTCACTCCATATTGAAGGCTGCAGTCCTTGACCCTCTGCAGCAAACGTTTCAGGTCCTCCTCAGTTTCAGCAAACCGGGTTGTGTCATCTGCATAACGCAGATTGTTAATAGATCTTCCACCTTTCTTGACCCCACACTTCTCCTCATAGAGCCCAGCCTCCCAGATAATCTGTTCTGCATACAGGTTGAAAAGGTATGGAGACAGGATGCATCCCTGGCGTACACCCTTCCAAATTTTGAACCATGCAGTGTTTCCTTGCTCTTTTCTGACGACTGCCTTTTGGTCCAAGTATAGGTTTCTCATTAGAACTGTCAAGTGTTCTGGTATTCCACAGTTTGTTATGATCCACACAGTCAAACACCTTTGCATAATCAATGAAACACAGATAGACATTCCTCTGGTATTCCCTGCTTTCAGCTAAGATCCATCTAACATCAGCTACAATATCCCTAGTACCACGACCCCTTCTAAACCCAGCCTGGACTTCTGGCAGTTCCAGTCGTTTTTGGATAATCTTCAGTAGAATCTTGGTTGCATGTGAAATCAGTGATACTGTACTATAGTTTCCACAGTCTGCTGGGTCACCTTTCTTTGGTATGGCAAGAAATAGAGATTTCTTCCAGTCAGTTGTCCAAGTGGTTGTTCTCCAGATTTCTTGGCACAACTTGGTGAGCACGTCCAGGGCAGCATCTGTTAGCTGAAATATGTCAATTGGTATACCATCTATTCCTGGGGCCTTATTTTTTTGCTATTTCCTTCAAAGCAGCTTGAACTTCTTCCTTCATCACCATAGGCTCTTGTTCATATGTTGTTTCATGAAATTCTTCTGTGTCTGCCAATTCCTTTCGATACAGTGACTCAGTATATTCTTTCCATCTTTTTTTTTAAATACTTCCTGGATCATTTAATATTCTGCCTAAAGCATCCTTGATTATAGCAACTCAAGGTTTGAATTTGTTCTTCAGTTCCTTGAGCTTAAGATATGCTGAGTTCGGCCCTTTTGATTTTCTGACTCCAGCTCCTTGGACATTTCATCGATTAATCGATGTTCTTCAGGAATTCTTTACATGCCACTCCTGTGCACAGTGTTATGTATTTCTGTATTTTGAGGTGTTGGGGAGAAGGGGATTATAACATTTATTAGATTCTCAAACAGTGTCCCTGACTTTGAGAAAGGTTAGTTTTTGTGCAGTCAGGGTTGTCTGTATATCCAGAAGGGAGTTTACAAACACAAGTGGTTCGCTTGTATTTGGGTATGACTCATAGCGACCCTATGAACAAAAGGCCTGAAGCCTTGCTGTAACTATTGTCATTTCTCAAATATCATAGAGCAGCGTCCTGCCATGCGATTTGTCGCCTCTGAAAAGGCGCTGCAGAGTCAGCTCTGACTTAGTTCTGACTTGACAGCACGTAACAGCCACAGATTTAAAATATTCACCAGTGTCATGATTTGAATGTTAAAGAATAGTATTTTTTTTTCTTGAACAGGCCTATTAAAGCTGCTCTCAGAGAAAGGAAACAGACATTTGAAGAGTACTTGGAAGAACAAATTAGATTAGAAGAACAAGAACGGAAACAAAAACAGGCAAGGGTTCGTATTTCAGCTATTTTAATGATTTATTCAGTAGCTTTAGAAAGGAAAGCTATTTTTTAATTACAACCTCATCCGTAAATTATAAGCAAGTTATGAAGCAGTAGTATTTACACAATAGATAATCTAATAAATGTTGCTAAATTGTGCAGTTCAACACTGTTGAGTTGGCAGAGGTTATGTCTTTTTTACCACAATTTTTCAAAAAGGTGCTAGGACGGAATATTCTTGAGTAGAATATAAGAAGAAAAGCCACATAAAACTTTGATATTTCTTAAGCATACAGATGTTAATTCTTATTATTATTTTGTTTTAGGCCACAGAAGGAGCATTGTTAATCAAAGCCAAGCCAAAACAGCCTTTCTTAAAAAGAGGAGAAGGCTTAGCTCGATTTGCTAATGCTAAATCTAAGCTTCAGAAAGGGAAGGAGAGTGTGGTGACTAATCAGAGCCCCTCGGAGGACCGGTCGCAGCTTAAAGCAGACAGACAGCCGTTCCAAAGGAAGATTGCTCTTGTAAGTAAAGAACCACACGCAGAAAACCGCATTGTTAAGAAGAATGGTAGATCCGGAGCCAAGAGTGCCTCTGTCACACTCGCTCAGAAGCCAAAACAGCTGAAGAGTAGTAACAGAAAGAGCGTCTCTCCATTGGGATTAAAGACGCAGACAGGGAAGAAAGGCGACGGACAATCTAAAGACAAGATCAAAACAGAAAAGAAACTTGACTCTAATAATAAAGAAAATATACTAGAGTGTACCAGACCTTGCGACTCTGGTTGCAAAATCTGGAGTAAGACACGAAGTAAAGAAAGGTCACCTCCTATGACAGGGCCGGTCCCCTGCCTGGCTTCCCAGAGCCTGGTTGGCATGAGTATAAAAGAGGCAGAGTCTTCCTTGGATATTTCCCAGCAGAGAAAGTTGGAAAATTGGGAGCGAGAGAAGGAAAAGGAAAATTTGGAATTAGATGAATTTTTGTTTTTAGAACAAGCTGCTGATGAAATATCATTTTCCAGTAATTCCTCATTTGTACTGAAAATCCTAGAAAGGGATCAGCAACTTAGCCGAGGTCACCGGCTCTCTTCCACCCCCGTCAAAGCTGCGCAGCAGAAAGCAGATACTGCGGGGCCTGTTGGTGAGCGGAGCCCAGATGAGAACCTTGACCGTAGTGGGTGTGAAAGTAAGAGCGAGGATGAAGTCCAACAATTTGATTCACTGCCTTCACCGAGGGAGAGGAGGCAACGGTCCTGTGCGAGCAGTCGGAAAGCCTTTCTGATGAGCACTTCTGAACCTCAAACGCGATGGAACCCATCCAGCGATGAGGGTGTTCAGAACAGTGACAGTAGCACTGACTCTGAGGAACTACTAGATGAGACCATAAAGCCTGCAGTTGCAGACCCAGAAAGGCCTTTGGGTAGCAGAGAGGCCAGTCCAGAAATTTGTCACGCCAGTGGACCTGCAAAGGACGCTGGGACTCAAGCCGAAAATAAATGTAGGGATGTTGATCTCGATTTGTCTGATAAAGACTACAGTAGTGATGAATCTGTTGTAATAGAGAGCATCAAAAAGAAAGTGTCTGAGCCCTCCAGAAAGATCTCATCTGTAAGTGTGAGTAGACTTGACTTTGATGATGAAAGAACTTGGACTGACCTTGAGGACAGTTCCTGTAAACATGATGTTACTCTTGAGAACGAAGCTAGGAGCCCTCAGGCAAGCTACCCCAGTAAGAGTGACCTGTGTGTCTCTGACAAAACGATGAAAAGAAAGATTGTCCCCGTCAAGAAGGGCGAAGACTTCAGCAGGTCTCGCAGGAGCCTCAGTCCTCCTCCTACATCGGATCTCGTGATGAAGTTCTTCCCTTCTCTGAAACCAAAACCAAAGTCAGATTCACATTTGGGAAATGATCCTAACTTAAATATAAGTCAAGACCAACCTCCAGGTAAGGCAGAATATTATAAAATATGCATTAGGATGCTATATATTGAACTTTTCTGTAACTGTGCTCTCAGAGAAAATGCTTAAGCTCTTTTGTTGCTCAGGAGAAGTCAGTTGTTTTGTTGTTACTTATTGAATGCTGTCAAGTAGGGTATGACTCATAGCGACCCTATGAACAAAAGGCCTGAAGCCTTGCTGTAACTATGGTCATTTCTCAAAGATCATAGAGTTTCCAGAGGCATGTTGTTTAGCAAGTGGATGCCACTCCTGCTCTGGTGGCCTAGTGGCAAGGAGCTGCGCTGCAATCCCAAAGGCATGCAGTTTGAGCCACCAGGCAGCCGATGTGCAGGAGAAGGATGGGCAATTGTTTTTAAAAGTTGAATCATTTTGTGTGTAGATCTAAGTAACAGTCACTAATAAAAGATTCAGGTAAGCTTTACAGTCTTAATTTTTCTTTATAATGAATTTTTCTCTATATTTTTAATATGAAAGAAACGTTGTTGTGTGCCTTGAGTTGGAACCAACTCACAGGTGACTGACCTCCAGTGGATTTTCAGAGGCAGTTAATGCACAGGGGGAGATTGCCCACCCTTCTCTCGTAGAACAGATAGTGTGTTTGAACTACTTGCCTGTGGGATTGCAGTGCAGCTTCTTAACCATTAGGCCACCAGAGCTCCCTAAACATGTGACTTCCTTATTTGTGATTGGGTATATTCTGAGTTATCCGTTATTTGAAACTCTTTGTATATATTTTTTTAAAACTCTTTGTATATTTTAAAAATAGCTGTTGAATACTTGCTTGTGTGAATACATCATAATTTTAGTGAATAATTTCCTTAATGATGAGAATTTAAGTTGGTTTCTTTACTATTAGAAATAATGCTACAATGTTGGCGAACTCTGGTGGCCTAGTGGCAAGAAGCTGCACTACAATCCCAGAGGTGCATGGTTCCAATCCACCAGGTCCTCTGCTGGAGGAGGGACAATCTCCTCTTGTAACAGTTAGATTTGATTTGATGCTACATGCAAAAAAAAAGGGAAAAAAAAGAATAAAAAAAATTTTTTTTTAAAAATAGAATGCTACAATGCATAGTTTTGTGAAAAAAGTTTTTGTGAGTTTGCAAGTTCATTCTTCACAAGAATTTTAGAAGTGATTAGCTTGAAGGGTCAGTTAAGTAGATTTTAACGTGATGGTATTTACGGAAAGTTTTTCCCAGGAAGGTAGTACCAGTAGGTAAAATGATTGTTTTAATTGAAGGATGGAAGTGTTGGCCATTTTACGGTACCACTGGGTCTGACCTGACGCAAAGCTGACCCTCCAGCAGGCTTTCATAGGCAGGAAATTGCTCAGAAGAGACTTCTTATCCTTCTCCCACTGAGCAGCTGGTGGATTCGAACTGCTTTTGAATGAGTTGGGAGAGCACCTCCTTACCTAACACTAAGCCACCAGAGCTTACATTTGTATTTCTTCTGAAAGTTGAAACAATTAATTTCCCCCCTTTTTTGTTATTTGAAGCATAGTTACTAAGCCATGTTAGTGACACTGATGTTTACTATATTCTAGACTTTTTAAGTGTTAACTGCTAATGTGTTTACTATTAAGAAGACCTTTTGTGAATGTCAGTATATATGGTCTGTTTTATAGGTGACAGTGCTCGATCTCAGGTTTTGAGAGAGAAAGTTATTGAGTTGGAAAAAGAAATAGAAAAATTCAAAGATGAAAACACATCTTTAGCTAAACTTCGCATTGAAAGAGAAAATGCTTTGGAAAAACTTAGGTAAGTTTGCATCTTAAAGTCATGAAAAATATATAACTCAGTATAAAATATTTGACTCATCTTTCATGAGTCTGAGAAATAGAAATTAAAAGAACATGAAATTTATACCATTTAAAGATTATGTGTGTGTGTGTTTTGTATTTTTTCACTTTTAAATTAAAGGAGCCCTCTGTGGTCAAAGCTACAGAAGAGAATTTTCTTAGGGGTAAGGTTGTAAAGTTGTAGTTTGAAAAGCCGTTTGGATCTATGAGAATAAATTCCATAAATCAAGTGTCACCAATACGGCAAATGTGGTATTTCATTCTGTGTCAAGACCTAACTTGTTACTATTGGGTACCAAAAGCTAGGCTGAACTTATTTGAGGCTAATAGTCTTCACAATTACATGCAATGCATCAGAGAGTTGGACAGTGACTAGGGATGATAGAAAGAGAATTGATGCCTTTGAGCTGTGGTGCTGTGGTATTGAAGACTGCAGTCCTTGAGCTTCAGGTACTTCCAGTACCATTTCCTCCGCTGGAAGACTTTTTGGCCCCATCTGTCAGTCGCTTTCAGCCTTCTTGTTTGTGTGTGTGTGATCTGAAGTTGTTTGTTGTCTCTGAGACACGGTGGTGTTAGCTGGTTTTGTGTTGGTGCGCTTTGCCCGGATTGTTTGCTGGGTGGGCAGTGGTGGAGGGCTCACCCTTGATTCCATGTGACTTTGGCCGAGGGTGGGAGTGTGGGGGTCGTCCCTGATGGGGGATCATGCAGAGCAGCTGGAGGCAGGCCGGGTGCAGGTGCGTGGTAATTGCTGGGTGCATGATGGTAATTGCTGGGTGCTTGATAATCGCCGGGTGCGTGGTAATTGCCAGCTGCGTGGTAATTGCCGCCTGTTTTTGGGCCGGTGGTGCACAAACGGATGGGGGGTGGGGGGCCCCTGAACAGAGTTGGGCAGCAGGTGTGGTGGGTGTGTCTGGGTCGGTTGCTGGCTGCTGAGTGGTGGGGAGGAGAAATAATGAGTGGCAGGGAGAGGAGGGAAAAGAAAAGACAAATAAGAGAGAAAGAAAAAAACAAACAACCCCAACTAGCCACCCTGCTTGCCCTCTCACACTGTGGCCGCAGGAGCCCGTCGGGTGGCGGGGGCACGTGGTGGGCCCGATCGGAGTGGACACTGGGGTTGCTGTGTCCCTCACTGATTGCAGGTGGTGTGGATTGTACAGTGTGTGACCATGAGAGGATGCCCCACAGGTGTCTCCGGCCTCTGGGGGGGGTTGGAGTTGGAGCTGAGGGAGGGTTTACGTGGTGGTGGCTGAAAATGGCGTGGGAGGAGATTCCCCACCTTTCTCTCATGGAGCACCTGGTGGACTTGACCCACGTGCCTTTGGGTTGGCAGCACAGCTCCTTACCCACTGGGCCCCAGAGCTCCTCAGATCCTCCCAGTGGTCTGTAATACTCAGTTGCTCTGGCCCTCTGTTGTAGTTTTGGCACTTCTCTCTGCTGCCCCTTGTATTTTACCTGTGGTGGCTCAGTCCTTCTCCAGGCCTTTAGGGTGCTGGTTCTGGCTGACCTCGTATGTATCCACCAATAGCCTGCTCTCTCTTTATTCAGGTCTTCAAGCCTGATTTTCTCAGCAAAGTAACCTTATCCAAAGTCTGAACCTTTCATGCTGATATGTCTTAATCTTTTCTCTTCCATTATTTTTTCCCTTAACATTTGTATAATGCTATATGTGTAAAAAGGGAAAAAATGTATTTATCTTGTTTACTGCCTGCTGTCACTAGAAGGTATAAAGGTATAGGGGCATGGGGTTTTATCCGTTATAATTTTCCCCTTATCTGGCATAGCAGGTGCTCAGTGCATCTGAACGTGTGAATTGACTGGTCTTTTCAGTTATCAATGGTGAAGGTACATTCACCAACACTGCCAGCCCTTCACCCCCACTTTCTCTGACATGATAATATGATTGGGACTTTTTAGGAAAGAAATTGCTGACTTTGAACAACAGAAAGCAAAAGAATTGGGCCGAATAGAAGAGTTAAAAAAGGAGGAAATGAGAAAGTTACAAAAGGAGCGTAAAGTTTTTGAGAAGTACACCACCGCGGCCAGGTCCTTTCCAGACAAAAAGGAGCGTGAAGAAATACAGGTACACCAGCGCGTTACGTCGTGCTCTTAGACCCTCACTGCCTTCAAGTCCAGACCAGCTGCTAGCGGACCCTGATCCTGCAGGGGGCTTTCCAGACTGTACCTCACCTGCGGGGAGATTGCCCCGTCTTCTCCCTTGGAGCTACTGATGGATTAGACCAGGCAGAGGGGTGCAGGCTGTGGGGTTAACAGCTGAACTCCCTACAGGTGAGGCCACCAGAGCTGCCTCTCATGTTCAGAGTCAGCTGCTAAAGGGGATGATGGTAAGAGTCTCGGAAAGATGTGTAAGAAAAAAAGAGTATCATTAATTCACTCAACAAATAAAATGTCCAAGGTACCAGTCTTCATGAGTTAACTACATCTTTTGTAGTCAGGCTTTTTTTCCTTTAAATGACATCTATTTTATTTTTATTATTCTTTGTGTGTGAGTGTACCATCAAATCAGAGCTGACTGGTACAGGAGGAGATTGCCCCTCCCTCTCCAGCAGGGCATCTGGTGGATTCGAACCATGTACCTCTGGGATTGCAGTGCAGCTTCTTGCCACTAGGCCACCAGAGTCCCCCTGTAGTCAGGCTTTTAAAGGGTAAAATGTACCAATTTTTTTTTTCTGAAGGTTTCTAATATAAAAGCTAAATTAATAAATCAGGAGTTAGATATTAATCAGTTCAAATTTCAGTTGATTTTTTTGACCCATTCCACAGCAAATAGTGAGGCTTTGTGGCTTAGCAGGAAGGGGCACTACCAGTCCAAGTGGACACGATTCAGTCCACCAGCCGCTCTACGAGAGGAGGATGGGCAGTCTCCTCCCGGGCGATTTACTGCCTGTGAAAGCCTGCTGAAGGTCACTCTGGGTCAGTTCCGACTTGGCGGTACATAACACCACCACACCACAAATACTATTACTTCTAATAATTTATAATAGTTTTAGGCACATAGAAAAATTTGGTGTTAATTGTTTAAACTTGTAACCAAAAGGTCAAATTGTGATTCCTATTTATTTCAAAGTTAGAAATGGACACAGTCTGTGGAATTAAGTTGTGGGTGAAAAAAGCAACTAATGCATTTGTAGTTAAAACCAGAAAGTTATTAAAAAGTGGGTGCATTTGTGTTACTGGTGTGTGCAAGGATTTATAAGAGACAAAGAACTATGAAAGTAAACAAGAACCCTGGTAAATTGGACTTCCTGAAATGAAAATTTGGATTTATCAAAAGACAAATTTAAAATGGCTGTTACCGTATAAAATAAAGGTAAACCTTTCATATTTTAAATGCTTTGCCTTCTTTCCCATGTAGCTTCTTTTACTTTCATCCTTTGCCTTCTTTCTCACATAGCATGCAGTTCTTGACCAGTCTTCACAGCTCTGGCCTAAGTTACGATATATGGTTGAGGTCTTCATTTCTGTAGGAGAAAAGAAGCCATTATGTTTTGCTTGTCGTTAGGTGGTTTTGAGTTGAGTATGACTCTTAGCAGCCCTTTGAACAGCTGACTCGAAGCCTGTCCTCTCCTGCGCCATCCTCATCATCTCTGACACACTAGAGCCCCTTGCTGAAGTCACTGTGTCAATCCATCTCACTGGGGGTCTTCCTCTCCGTCTCTGACCCTCTCTCTTTCCAAGCATGATGTCCCTCTCCAAGGAGCAGCCTCACCTAGCTACATGTCCCAGGTATGAAAGACGAAGCGTCACCATCCTTGCCTCCAAGGAGCACTCTGGTTTCACCTTCTCCAGGACATACCTGTTTGTTCTTTTGGCAGTCCATGGGATGTTCTGCACTCTTCTCCATCTGCACAACTCAAAGACATCAATTCTGTCATCCTTATTCATGGTCCAGCTCTCTGAGGCGTAGCAGGTGTTTAAGAAGAGACCATGGCCTAAATCTGGCACACCTTGATCTTCAGACTGACTGACATCATTGCTCTTCCCTGTTTTGGAGAGGTTTCTGACAACAGACTTGTCCAGTGCAATTTCCTGACTGTTGGTATTGGTACTGTAAGGGTGTTGATTGTTGATCCAAGCAAAATGAAATCATTGACAGCTTCAGTCATTTCTCCACCTACCATAATGCTGGCTGTTGGTCCTGTAGAGAAGACCTTTGTCCTTTTTTATTTATTTTTTTAAATTTGTTAATTTCTTTTGTGTCTAACGTCAAATCGGATCTGACTGGTATAGGAAGAGATTGTCCTGCCTTCTCCAGCAGAGCCTCTGGTGGATTTGAACCATGCACCTCTGGTCTTGCAGTGCATCTTCTTGTCTCCAGGCCACCAGAGCTCGTGTGCCTTTGTCCTTTTGATGTTAAGATGTAACCTATACTGAAGGCTGTAGTCCTTGATCTTCTGCAGCAAGCCTTTGATACCCACTTCCCTTTTAGCAAGCAACGTTGTGTCATCCTAATAAGCGCAGGTGGTTGAGGAATCTTAACTATATTGCAGGTTTTATTTAAAACAATATATTCAGTTCAGAATGTACAAAAGGTGCACAGTTAAGCCTGCCCACCTGATTTACCATGTTGGGAACACCTGGTGGTGTCACTGGTTTTGGAGACATTCCAGGTTTACCTCAGGGAGTTAGCATGACACAGTGACTGCAGCAAACAGGCAGAGGCGGCGGGGTGGCCCTGGTTAGCGCGGGATTTCCTTTGGTTTGTATATAAAGGCCCTGGGAGTTGGAGTGGACGGGATGGCACCCAACAGCAGTAATTATGTTCATGACTTTTTTCTTTTTACATTGATGCTTGTCGCATGCTGAAATCCTGTATCTTAACAAAGAGCATCTTATTTAACAGTTGTAAAGGATTACATTAGAGAAATAACCTCGTTTCGTTATACTTTGTTCGAATCCTTACTCTTCCTTTCTCAACACTCTCTTCGATTGCGCCATGAATTCCTCTTTGTCTTCACCAGGTCTCTTGTTTATCCTTTTTTTTTTCTCTCTCACTTTCTACTTTAGACCTTTATTCCTTAATGGCAGTATATTTGTAATGATCTCTGAAATTGCGTCTAACTTCTGGAGTTAATTCTGTTGTGTGAGATGAGAGGAGGCTCCAGGTGGATCCCACTCTGGCAGTCATAGAAGTGCCATTGCTTGACGTCGCCGTTTGGAAGGGCTGTTCTCTTTGGTTGCTGTGTCTTTAATGCTGTGTGACACCATTTTCATTTTGGTAATGCCGTTTCCCCACCTTATCCCCTTTGAGGCTTTAAAACAGCAAATAGCAGATTTGCAGGAAGATTTGAAGAGAAAAGAAGCCAAATGGTCAAGTACACATAGCCGCCTTAGAAGCCAGATAGAGGCGTTGGTCAAGGAGAACACAGACCTCCGGGAAGAAATAAAAGTGATGGAGAGATTCCGGCTCGATGCCTGGAAGAGAGCAGCAGCGATTGAATGCAGCATAAAGGCCGACGCGGGTGTGACGGCTTCGAGGAGAGAGGAGCCCATGGTAAGTCTTCGGGGCAGGTGGGTTTTATCACATCAGGAGCTGATAGTAAACTGTTGGCCCACTGCCATACCAGTAATTATAGAGTCCATTTTTAGAATTCTTCTAAAGGAGGGATGCCACAGTCGGCAGCAATCTCAGTTAATCAAGTAATGTTTTCACAGACTCCCATGCATCTGATCCTTTTCAATCCAGTATCAGCTAAGCAGATAGAATTCCTTGACCTCATGGAATTATATTCGAGTAGTTGAGAAAGACCACAAATAAGCAGCCGAGGAGAAGCAGCAGAGAGAGGGTGAGGGTGTTGCAGCTGCAGATAGGAGGAGGGGGCTGTGCTGAGGAAGAGACGTTTCATTCATGAGCTGAAGGACACGAGTGAGGAAGCCAGGCTGGGTCCTGTGTGAAGCGGGTAGCAGGAGGAGTGAGGCCACGTGTGTAGGAGGGCCTGCTGTCAGTGGTCTGCCCCAGTGGGCTGGAGGAATGGCATAGTGACCAGAGCAGCTACAGCCCTGCACATGGAGACAGTTCCTGGAGCAGAGATCCGTGGAGGACAGAGAGTGATGAGATCCGTGGAGGATGGAGAGGCTACAGTCCAGTGTGTGGAGACAGTTCCCGGAGCTGAGATCCGTGGAGGACAGAGAGGGCATGGTCGGTCCTAATAGATGAGTGCGTGGGTTTTATTCGGAGTCAGATAGGAAGCCATCGGAGAGCTCTGAATAGATGAGTTAGGTAAACATTTTAATGTTAGTAAATTCACTTTATATCTGATAGAGACTTAGTGGATTTAAGCAGGAACGCTTGTGACTTAGTAATCATATCAGGAGAGGCCCAAGCTGGAGATAGCAGTTTGGGGTCTTGGGGCTGTGAGGTCTGGCTGGAAAAGGTCACCAGTGCTGGGAGGACAGAGATGAGGGAGGAACAGCAGGGGGCAGGAGCATGGGCAGCCAGAGAAGGACGTAGGACATGAAGGAAGAGTGGTGTCCGGACAGAGTGCACGGACATCTGTCCAGGAGGGGGGAGTGATCAACAGTGGCATACTGCTGCTGGAAACGAAAATAAGGCCTGGAAATAGAACATCAGATTCACTGAGTAGAAATCATTGATGACTGATAGATGGAGCCTGTGGGGAGTTGCCTCGACGGCATGGAGAGAGCTTACAGAGCAGGTGTCTCTGGAGAATTCAGTTCTGCAAATGTCGGGGTGGTGTAGGGAGTGTGCCACTACCCCAAAGGCCTCGCCTCGCCAGTGTGTCAAGTCCACCAGTGGCTCCGTGGAAGGGAGGTGCATAACCTCCTCCCATGCAACTTAGAGCCTTCAAAACCTGGTGTTCATTTCCCAGTCTGGAAATGTGCTTGAAAATGTGATTGTTATGTCCCAGCAAATCTGAGCTGATCTTCCAGTGGGTTTTCAGAGGCAGTAAATCACAGGGGAGGAGACTGTGCATCTTTTCTCTGGCGGAGCGGCTGGTGGTTTCGAACCCCATGCCCTCTTGTTGGAAGCGCAGTTCCTTACCATTAGGCTGCCAGAGCTCACCCAAGAGAAATTTGAGTGTCACAAGGGCTTCATTCAAAACTGGAATGTTTGGAGCTGTCAGATTGTTTCATCTTTTAGCTCAGGTACTGGCAAACTCCTCTTTAAAAGGCAAGAGAGTATCTGTGGCATTGTGAACCATCAAGTCCGCCTTGTAACTACTCCTCTTTGCTGTTGAAGAAATAGCCAAGGGCAGCCATGCTGTCTTCCAGTACAACCTTTGTTAGCAAGTTGGAGGTTCTGCAAAAGAGGGAAAGACCCTCAGTGAGAAGGGTTGACGTAGTGACTGTGGCAGTGGGTTCGAGTATGTCAGAAATGGTGAGGATGGCCCGGGACAGAGCAAGGTTCACATCTGTGTTCATACGGTTGCTGAGTGGTACTCAACTCGATGGCACCTAACAACCGCCACCACCGATATATATACACACTGGATGGTGGCAGGTTTGCTTTCAGGTTATTTTGGTTTTGTTTAATGAAGTTAGGGGGTAAGTAGGTGGTGGAAGCTTACAGTATTTCCAATTGCTTCAACTTCGTGCAGTAGAAAGCATAGTCTTTTAGCTGAGAGAGGACTTGAGGTTGACAGGAGAACGTGTGTAATAGTTGCATATGAGTGAGAAAAAGCAGTAGATGGGGAAATGTGGTCCGATTCCTGGACGGAGCTGAGGGTCCGCTCTGTCTCTCACTGTTGTTCCACCTCATAGCTGACCCTCCATTGGGTTTCCAAGACGCTACATTGCAGGGCACAAGACTCAGCTGTTTCCCTCAGTAAGGCTGGTGGATTTGAACCCCCAGAGAAGCACCGCCTTTGTGTTAGCCCAGGACTGCGTCAGTGAGGTGGTTGTGTAGTGTTGATTCAGAACTGACTCGCAGCTGATCCTGCAGCAGGTTTTCAGGGGCAGTAAAATCGCATGGGAGGAGACTGCCCATCTTTTTCCCCCAGAGCAGGTGGTGGATTTGAACCTCGTGCCTTTGGGTTGGTAGTGCAGCTCCTTCCCACTGAGCCACGAGAGCTTGAGGTTAGAATTGTTCACACTGTTGTTTTTTTCCCTTTTAAGCTTTCTGAATGAATAGTACAGAATGAGGGACCAGGCAGTTTGGCGTATGTGCAGAGTCACGGCACTAAGCCAAGAGTTTAAACTGCGCAGGGATGCTGGATTTTGAGAGACAGAAAGCGTAGGCCCTTAACTGTGGGACTTCAAACAGCTTGTAAGTCTGGTTGAGATGCTCAGAATTTTCCCCATGTAAGTTAATGGTGACTGCATGTTGGTTTGCCCTATTTGGATTTTTGAAAAGGTTTCATAGGAATACTTTTCTTCTGGATAGCAGGGGACACTTGGCATTAAATAGGGGCAACAGATCAACTGAAAACGTTCTCATCACGAGCAGAGTTCTGTTAATTTAAGGCATTGTACCTACATGTGGACTAACATTTATATTCACAATGATTTCTTACACTACAGAACCCATCAGTTTGCTTTCCAAAAAGTCAGATTTCTTCAGGAACCCAGGTAGAAAAATACAAGAAAAACTGTTTGCCCACACAAGGTAGGAGGTTTTTCATTATTTTTTAAATGAAATATATCAAGACTAAAGTCTTACTAAATTTTTTTTTTCTTTTCTGAGTACAGTGTACTTTATTGATGGTACATGACAAGATGGGCTCACCAAGCCCCTCCCCTTTCTCAGGGGGATTTGATGGAAACTTGTGTCAAGGGTGTGAGATTCTCTGTGTGGGAGGATCAAATTGGGGCAAGGACTCCCCAGCAGCTGAGGGTCTCTCTCTCTCTCTTCTAGTGCTATTGCTGGGGCTGGTGGTCCAAGGGGATCTTATTCTTTGGAGGCCATGTGAACCATCAGGTCGACCACCCGGTTGCTGTAGCCAAATTCATTGTCATACCAGGAAATGAGTTTGACAAAGTGGTCGTTCAGGGCAATGCCAGCCCCAGCATCAAAGGTGGAAGAGTGGGTGTCACTATTAAAGTCACAGGAGACAACCTGGTCTTCAGTGTATCCCAGGATGCCCTTGAGGGGCCCTTCTGATGCCTGCTTTACTACTTTCTTGATGTCATCATATTTGGCAGCTTTCTCCAGACGGCAGGTCAGGTCCACAACTGACACATTGGGGGTGGGGACACGGAAAGCCATGCCGGTAAGTTTCCCATTCAGTTCAGGGATGACCTTGCCCACGGCCTTGGCAGCGCCAGTAGATGCAGGGATGATGTTCTGGGCAGCTCCACGGCCATCACGCCACAGCTTTCCAGAGGGGCCATCCACAGTCTTCTGGGTGGCAGTGATGGCATGGACTGTGGTCATGAGTCCCTCTACAATGCCGAAGTTGTCATAGATGACCTTGGCCAGGGGAGCCAAGCAGTTGGTGGTGCAGGAGGCATTGCTGACAATCTTGAGAGAGTTGTCATACTTTTCATGGTTCATGCCCATCACAAACATGGGGGCATCAGCAGAAGGAGCAGAGATGATTACTCGTTTGGCACCACCCTTCAAGTGAGCCCCAGCCTTCTCCAAGGTTGTGAAGACACCAGTGGACTCCACAACATACTCAGCACCAGCATCACCCCACGTGATGTTGGCGGGATCTCGCTCCCGGAAGATAGTGATAACTTTCCCATTGATGACCAGCCTCCCATTCTCAGCCTTGACAGTGCCGTTGAACTTGCCATGGGTGGAATCATATTGGAACATATAGACCATGTAGTTGAGGTCAATGAAGGGATCATTGATGGCGACAATATCCACTTTGTTAGAGTGAAAAGCAGCCGTGGTGACCAGGCGCCCAATGCGGCCAAATCCGTTTACTCCGACCTTCACCATCGTGTCTCAGGGATGCGGCTGAGGCTGCACAAGAAGAGAGGGCAATCTGGATCGACGAGGAGCAGAGAGCAAGTTTTACTAAATTTAAGGAGACATTAGAAAATTGAAGCCCTTGTATATCCTCCTCTCTCAATTTCTACCGTTAGCATTCTCATGCTTTTTAAAATTCATTCCATTATGTCCATTAATCATTATAGTATTGCTTCATATTCTGTATCCTTCTGCAGTTTGCTTTTTCCTCTCAATATTTCAGGGCCTACCCACACTGACCCTCGTAAAATCTGGTTTAGTCATGTCAACAGCTACACAGATTTCACTGTAAGCTTGTTGCACTTGGTCAGGGTCACTGAGCCCTGTATAACGGGGCTGTTTCTTTGCATTGTGTTATCTGGAGTGGGATGCTGAGTCATACCAGACTTGGACAACTTTGGAGGTTTTGTCTGTGTTGTGCAAATCGCTTTACCATTTATTACTGTCAGCATATTGATAGGCCCTTTGTATTTGTCAACACTTGATATGGTCAGGCTTTAACGTTTTGGACAGCCAGATGGCTAGGAGCCTGGTGAGCTGGTGCAGTTTTAATGTGTATTTCCCTGGTTACTGGTAGGTTGTATGAACTTCTTTTTGATTATTGAGTGCCTGTTTATATTTTCTCTACGGTGAATTGCCTGCACTCATCCGTTGCTCATTTAAAAGTCTGGTATAAGCATTGAAGTATTTTCTTCGAGTCTGGATTTACCTTTTCCATTTGTACATTTGTGTACATCTTTTTTCTTCTTTATGGTTCTTGTTTTTAAAGATTGTGTTTTGGGTGACAGTTTTCATAGCACTTGTTCCATAACTTTGGTTACTTTTGTCATGACGTGTCAGCGTTCCCATTCTCATTTTCTATTACTGTCTGAACCAGAATTCTTCAATGTAATTGAGTTTTAGTTTTTGTCCTTTTTGTCTGCTAAACATACGTAAAAGTGTTTGCCACGTCGGCCTTTTCTCCTGTACATTTCACTGATCTAATGCTCGTTATGTTGCCAGCCATCACCACGGTTTTCAGATTTTACTATGAACAGAAGTTCAGTGTCCCTAGGCAGTGCCCCCTTTTCATTCTGCCTGGTAACTAGCAGTGCGTGTTAGTCTCTGTATATTTGATCTTTTTGGATGTATAGAACACATTGTGTTTATCCATTTCCAAACCCCTCAGGAACTGAAACCATCCAAGTAGTTTTCCTGCATTTGTTACAAAGCCAGCTATCTCTTAACGAGCATCCAAGTAGCTCTCTCTTCATCTTTTGATGGTCATTCTGGTTATTTCCACCTTCTGGCTACTGGGAAGGATGTCGTCACGAACAGTGACATACAAGTAACTCTTCTGTATACCTAGGCAAGGAATTGCTGGGGTATAGGGTAATGCTCTTTAATTTTTTGAGGAATTGTCATGATGTTTCCCATAGTAGCTTTGTAATTTTCCAGTTTTAGTGCTGTTGCATGAAGGTTTCAATTAATTCCTCATCCTTACAAACATTAATTTTGTGAAGAGGAGAAAATGGCACACAGGGCACAAGGCCGAGAGCATCTCTCTGAGAGGGCCAGAGGGAGTGAGACTAGCACAGCCCCTCACCGCCCCAGAGCAGAAAGCGGCTAAGGAGCCCTTAGCCCAGCCCCAGCAAACCTCTAGAGCCACCCTGACAGCAAGAGGTGTGTTTCTTTGTTGCTGACTCACACAGTTGTGGTACCGAGACTGGCGTTATTTAGGGAAGTAAGTTGGAGAGTGGAGAAGGTAGAGTATCACCCAATGCAAGTCTAGGTGTTAGCCCAAGTTCCAAGGCACAATTTCTCAATTAGTGCAGGCTCTGGTTTCAGTTCATCAAATCCAAGCCATCCAATAACGTTTGTGTCAGAGCAGTTGTAAGTAAGGCAGCTTCTCTTTCAAACGTTGGGCAAGAAGAGCAAAACCTCTGTGATCAGCACAAATACGAGAAGCCTTAGGTCCCTCCTTCCCTGTTTCACCACAGCATTGCCACCACTAGCACCAGGAACTTGCTCCAGTCTCCCTCAAGTCTTGCTGTCCAGTGTGGAAATCATTCTTTTATCCTAGTCCTGCAGCTAAGACAGCTGGGGACCAGAGGGGGCTAACAGTACTGGCTTTTAAAAAAGCCCATTTTTAGGCTGAGAAGATACCATCTTATTAGATATGAAGTGATAGTGGCTTTGATTTCCATTTTTCTAGTGAAATGGAACATCTTTTTGTGTGCTTGCTTGCCATCTATGAATCTTTGTCAAGCTTCTTTTCAGTTCCATTAGCCACTTTTTGATTGCTGTCTTTTGTTCTTTATATCAGAAATTAAAACTCTATCAGGTATTTGTTGCTGCTGTTAGGTGCTGTCGGGTCACCTGTGACTGATAAGGGACTGTTAATAGCAGATCTGAACCTTGCCCTGTCCAGTGCCCACGGTCTCTGTCCTGCTCCAGCCCACTGTGGTGGTCACATCAGTCCTTCTTGTTAAGGGTCTTTTCTTTGGCTTACCTGCTGCCTTTCCTAGCTTTATGTCTGGTGTATCATTTCCTAGCAAGGACCCTTCTTGATGAGGTCAGCAGTGGTAGGTCCCTCTGCTAAGACCCCTCCTGGCGAGGTCGGCAGTGGCAAGTCCCGCTGCTAGAGCCCCTCCTGGCATGGTCAGCAGTGGTAGCTGGGCACCATCCAGTTCTGGTCTGGTGTTGTAGAGGTTGTAGTGGTCTCTCTGTCCTCTTTTTTTCTACATCTCTTTGTCATGAATAAAGAGTGAAGAAAATCGGAGAGCTACACCAATCATCAGACCTGAGGTGGCCACTTGAAAGCCTTGAAAATCCCAGTCTCCTCATCACAGTAGGATGTTAAAACATTATTTTTGTTAATTTTGTTTTAATTACATTTTTTAACTAGGGCCTCCATCAGATCCCAGGACTTAGTTGAGGCCCTTTATTGGTTTTCCCTTATAAATCACACATTTGGCTCCATTGGTATACAGAAAATAGTAGGATTTCAATATATTTTAAAAAATCCATGTCATTTTGTGTGTGTGCACATTTTAATACTGTGTATTTATGTGTATTATTAATTTGTGTGCATTTGTTTTAATAATGTCTTATTAATGTGTATACTGTTTGCTAAGAATGTGTATTATTAATACCATACATGGTTAGTATGCTGTTCATGACCTGAAATGTTTACACTGCAGTCCCTCGGGCACTTTAATTAAATACTCAGTTATTATTTGGTTAGATCAAATCCTTTACTCATTATTAGGTCCATTTTTTGGTTTATCTTTACTTTCAAACCCACAATTGCTAACTTCTTTTGTTTTTGCCTCCAGAATACCTTTGAAACCATCGATTAGGTTATTTGAGCATTATTTGTCCAGATTATAAATTCTGAGAATCGTTAAAATTCAAGGTGAAAACAAAAAACAAAGACATTATGAGGAGTGGTTCAATAAATGTTTGAATTTTTATAATGAAGAATGTTGAAACTCTGAAAATGAATTTTTAACAGGTAATCCATCAAGAAGACCCAAGCCTGCACTTCCTCGTGAAAAAAGCAGTCTGGAGAAGGAGAAGGGACAAGTAAATCTCTATGTTTATATATTAGAGGAAAAATGCAGAAGTTTGATAGTAGTTACTTAATTTAAATTTCTAAACCATGTAAACTTAACACTAAGCACAGAATCTTGTGATGGTAAAATATTGCTTATCTTTCTGGATAGATGTGAAGTCTTATTTTTATAGGCTACCTCACCCCGGGAGCCATTTGAACCAACAAGAGTCCCAGATTCTGAATGTAAAGAAGAAGAAGAAAAAGAAGAAATTCAGGAGGAAATCAATCATCCTGATGGAAAGGTTAGAAAATTTTTTAGCAGATGCTATAAAATAAGCAAGCATGATAACGACCCTTGAAGGTGGATGTACCTTGGATTATGGTCTTTGGGCTCCTCTAAAAATGTCCGTGCACAGCATGTATTCAGTTTCCATTTTTAATTCAGAAGTGGCTACAAGGACTGTGGTTTGTTTTACCTCATTGTGTTTTTGCTCTGTACATAGCTAAGAAGCCTTCTCTAGTCCTTGACACTTAAGAGTCTCAATCTATTCTAAGTCTTAACTTTCCTGAAGACTCTCTTAATACTCATCCTGTGTTTGGTACCTTTCTTACCATCTGCAGCCTACACGTTTTTATTCTTAGTTTTTAAATGGAATAAGAGCAGGTAAGTGTTCCAGACAGAAGAGCAGTAAAGGCAAGGGAATTTAGCAAACAGAGTTGCCAAATGGTAGATGGTAAAGGAATTTCTTCCTGAGAGTCACTGAAAATTTTCAGATATTCAGATTTTACTTAAGTAAGACTAAAATCTGATTTAAAAATAGTCAAAAGTAAACAGGTTTTTCCTGTGCTCAATTCTTTCATGTTGGAACAGAATCCTTGCTGTCCCTCCGGCGGGTTTTCAGATGGTCCAAGTCCTGTGGGAGATGGTCCATCTTTCACTGTTGGGAGTAGGTGGTGGACTCGAACCACTTGCCTTTGGTTTGGCAGTGCAATTGCTTACCTGCCAGGTCCCCAGACTCCCATTTCCTGTTCTCAGGCATTGCTGACCCTTAGTGGGTTTTCAGAGCCTGTGCATCTCATGGGAGTGCCCTTCTTTCTCTTAGAAAACAGCTGGTGGACTCAAACCCTTATTTTCTAAGGTGGCCTAATGGGTAAGGAACCCAAAGGTAGGCAGTTCAAATCCACCAGCTGCTCAAAGGGAGAAGGATGGGCAGTCTCCTCTTGTGCAGTTGTGCAGCCTCTGAAAACAGCTGGGGGGGTCAGCTATGTGTGGTTCTGTTTCGACACAGCACATTACCACAGGGTAACAAAGACGTGATGAGGAAAGTTTTTTTTTTTTTAGAAAAATGCCCAGCTAGCGACAGTTACCAGTTTGTAACTTCCAGTAAATACAGCAGCAGACATCAGTGACTGTGGAAGTCACTGCAGGAAAAGGGGGCTTAAGTGATCAATGTACCAAACGGACACGACACAAACTTGTTAATGTCGACATTAAGAACAGACTAGCTGTAGTTCTGCCGTTTTGTTCTGAGAATTCACATACTGTGTCAGATAAATTGTACCTTTTAACCATCGGATTTACTTTTTAGCACCAAGAGGCTTGGTTGACATCCAGACTGCACTGGCATCTTACTAGCAAGTCCTCTGCCGCCTTCTGATGTGTCCTCAGGAGATGGTCTGAGGCTTCCCTTCTGTGCAGTCAGGGCACACCAGCTGCTCATGGCACATGTATGGATGAAGTGGTCCACACGACTTTTCACCCACTTAACCCAATACTGGTCCATGGAATGACGTACCCGTGTCATCCCTGCTTGTAGTAAACGTAGTCACACCTGTAACGTATTCTTGTCAAAACAATCTGAATTTCATCATGCCTCTGTTGTTGCGTGCCACTGCTTCTTAGCTGACCCTCCAGCCGGTTTTCAGAGGCAGTAAATCCCATCAGAGGAGACTGCCAATCCTCCTTTGAAACCCTTTGCAGATTGGGGTTGGCTATCGCAGCTCCTTACCACTTAGCCACCAGAGCGCCCTCTAAATACAGTTACTAGTATTTTAAGGAAAATGAGGGTAGGAAAAAAAAAAGAAATACAGGGGAATACAGAAGATGTTAAGTGACACCATGTGAAGTAATCAACCCAATTAAAAAGGTTGAAAATTCTACTTGGTCAGTGACCATCAACAATTGCTTTTTTTTTTCCAAAAAAAAAAGGTAGGCGAGGGCTGTTGAAGCTTAAGATTCTAGATACAGAACCAGCCAAGTTGTGTGTACTGTCCTTGTTCTGATCCCACGTCAAAGAAATCAACCGTAAAATACTTTAAAAAAAACACGTTTTGGAAAAATAGCATTGATGGAAACTATGCCAGCAAGGAATTAAGTTAGGTGTGATTAGTTTTGGTCATGTTATACATTTTTTCAATTTGAGATATCAAGGTATTTACAGGTGAATTTCTTTGAAAAACTAAAAATATGAGGCTGCTTTGGGGAAATGAGTGACCCAGGAATTGTTACATTGACTGCTGAGAGTTGAGACTGTTAAAGACAGTATTGTTTCCTTTTTGAGGGACTGTTTTACTTGGAGAAATTTCAAGAGAAGTGACTAGCAGAGAATTAGAGCTATTTTTTTTGTCCTGTGACTTCAGGAGGGTATCCTGCATATTGACCATTTGGTTTCCTTTCTTTTAGATAGAAAAGCTTTTAAAAAATGGGTGCCACATTGTTCTGTTTCCAAATGGGACTCGGAAGGATGTGAGTGCAGATGGCAAGACTCTGACCGTCACTTTCTTTAACGGAGACGTGAAGCAGGTTCTGCCGGATCAGAGAGTGGTAGGTTTCCCGAGGAACGTTCTTCCTCTGTCGCCTGATCCTCCCTTGAGGAAGACGACCTTCTGTCCTTGCGTCTTTACAGATCTACTACTATGCTGCTGCCCAGGCCACTCACACTACTTACCCAGAAGGACTGCAGGTGTTACATTTCTCAAGTGGACAGATAGGTAAGAACTGACTTCCTCTATTAAGAGTCTTCCCTTGAAAACCTGAAGTAATTACAGTAAACTTTTTTTTAAACAGAAAAACACTTCCCAGATGGAAGAAAAGAAATCACATTTCCTGACCAGACTATTAAAAACTTATTTGTTGATGGACAAGAGGAAAGCATCTTTCCAGATGGTACTATTGTCCGAGTACAACGGTAAGATACGTGTTCAGTTTAGCTTCATGATTATCAAAAACAGAATTTTTTTATACAGCATTTATATCTTTGTAAGACATTCAGAATTTTATTAACAAATGTGAACTAAATCTAAGACACCTTGGGGGCAGGTGCCAAAGTTCTGGACCTTTTGGAATTGTGATACCAGTATTTTCTTTCACTGTGATTTGAGTGAAAGGTTCCAGTTTTATTCATTCAGTGACTCATACGCATTTTAGTTTATTATAATGATTACAGGTTAATCAGACCTTGTCATATAATTCTTTTATGTTACCTTTTGGTTTACCCAGTGTCTGTAACCTGTTCATTTTTACTCCATACTACTGCCTCTATTCCAGCAACGCTCCAGGGATGATTCTGTACGTAAACCTTTCTTCAGCTTTTTAGAATAGTGCTTTTATACAAATATTTGTCCTTTTGAGACTTATGTCACTGAATAATTTCCTCTAAATTCACCCAGCTTTGACAGTTAATCCATGAGTTTATCTCTTTTTTTAAATGTATATAGTCAAGCAAATTCCAGATACCTTAATTCATTCAGTGCCTGTTTCTACATTCAGAGTTTCCTTTCACACTTGGAGCAGTTGTTCTCAAACTTCACGGTGTATTTGGGCGCCTTGAGGGCTTGTTTGATTCTGAGTGTTGGGCCCCTCCCCCGTAATTTTCACCGGTAAGCAGCTGTGCTGCAGTCTCAGGGGGACATGGTTTAAGCTGACCGCTGCTCCATGGCGGGAGGTTGAGCAGTCTCCTCTCTAGTTAACTGCCCGAGAACCCACTGGAGGGCCCGCTGTGGGTCAGCTCTGATAAAGTATATTCCTGGTGATGCTGCAGATCCAAGGACTGTACTTTAAGACAGTGGCTCTCAGCATGAGAGGAGTAAAACAACAGAAAGCCCACCGCTAGTCCTTGGCCCTGTGTTAAGTCATTCCCCGTCTCGCCCGACGCCTGTATTTCTAACTGCACAGCACAGCTGTATTCGTGCACATCAGTAAAGCAGCCGTGTTCCCACCTTCTGCTTCTTCAGTCCACTGCTTTCATACAGCTCTTAAAACCTCTTCATCCCTTCTTTGTGAACGCGGCTCTTTTCTTTACCTCCTATAGAGCATGCACTCATATGGTATTTAATGTCCTAGCCATTTTTTTAAAAAGGTGCAGAAGGCCAAACACTCTTAGGTTAAAAAAGGTTAAGTACAAATCCAATAATCGCAACTGCCAGTCTACATGGAGATACTGTGGAAGGGGAAGGACTTCCACGTGGAATAGTACTCAGGGATGTCTGCATAACAAGTAACTGCTATAATCAAGACGTCTTTTAGGCAACGGTTGTTATTTTTAAAATGTAAATACTTGTAAGAAAAACAAAACCTAATAATTTCTTTGTTACATGAACCATTTTTTCTTAAGAAATGAAATTATTTTTTTAAATTTACAGTGATGGCAATAAAATCATAGAGTTCAATAATGGCCAGAGAGAACTCCACACCACGCAGTTCAAGAGGCGGGAATACCCTGACGGCACTGTTAAAACTGTCTACGCAAATGGCCACCAAGAAACCAAATACTCTTCTGGTCGAGTCAGAGTCAAAGACAAGGATGGGAACGTGCTCATGGACACTAAACTGTAACGAGTCGTGGTTAATCATGAAATAACATTGACCTGATTTTCTTATAAAAAGGTGTATTTTTCTGGACTCTAATTTATACTTACTCTGTGTGTTATATGTACAAATGGTAAAGATTAAGTTTTGATTAAAAGCTTATAGTTTGTTCATTTTCTGGAAGAGCACTAGGACAACTTGACAATTAACTCACGCCGTCTTCAGTTACACTCATGACTAAAAGCAGCGGCAGTAAAACTCTGCGTGGTGCCAAGTGCTGTAGAGTCGGAACTCTGTACCTGACCCTACGACGGCTTTTCAGAGGTTGTTCATCACACGAGAGGAGCTTGCCCATCCTTCCTCACAGACTGGCTTGTGGATTCAAACCCTGTGCCTTTGGGACTACAGCACAGCTTCTTCCCAATAGGCCACCAGCACTCCCTATAACTGTGCCTGTGAAGTTTGAAGAACACCAAATGGATGCTGCTTTCACTGGCTGAAGAGGGTTTTAAAAGTCCACCAGGACACACTGGTCTCAGATCATCAACTTGCAGAGGAAGCTTACAGCATGAACATCTCTAACCAAAACATTACATAGTAGCTGCTGTGTGCCCTCGAGTCTCCAGGGCTTTAGAGGCAGGAAATCACGCAGAGGAGGCTGCCCATTGCCTTCTTGTTAAGCGGCTGGCAGATTTGAACTGTCTGCCTTTCGATCACAGCACAGTTTCTCACTCCTCTAATTAATACTAACGTTAAAGCACGTGATGTACAGCAGCAGCTCTCTTAACTGACAGAATGGGGGAGTTTAAAAGTTCATTCTTTGAATTCAGGTTATAGTAAGAAAGTAACAGTAACTAAGGTGACGAGTCTCAGGTGACTCAATGGCACATAACGACACGGTGACTAATTTATGGAACACCTGAGAATGAAGGTGCATAACTACTACTGAGCTGGTCTAAGTTACCTCCCACTTTCATTTCTGCTTCCTAGTGGAAGCCAGGTGTCCTCAGCATCACCTGTGAGTAAAATTACACGACTGGGTGAGAACTCGCCTGTATGTTTAGTACCAGGTAAGTGTTGGTAACATTACCCAGAATGGATATAAGATCTGAATATGAAAAAGAATTCTTTCATAAACACAAGCAGCACAGTCCTTAGAGGAAATGCTAAAAAATCTCTGCTCGTCAGAAGCTACCCACAGACAGCAGAAGGCACGGACTGGCGAGGGCACGTGCCATGCATGCCCCAGGAATCCCCGGCAGCCCTAAAGCTCATGACAATTCCACGGAAAAATGGGCAAATAGAAACACGTGAAAAACCTCTTAACCTCACTCACTGCTGAGCCCGGGATGGCACAATAAAGCAGATGGTCTTACGGCAGCATCCGCTGTCTGGCCGTACCCAGTACTGGTAGGGAGCGCACACTATGGAGGTATGGGAAACTGCTGAGCTTGGCCTTTTGTGTAGAGATACCCTAGAAAACCTCTCCTGTGTACACAAGGGGTCCTACAAGGAATGTAATAGAGGAAAAAAATCCTGGAACAGCCTAACCATCTAACAGTGTGTGGTCCACACAGATGAACAGAGCAATCCAAGTAAATAAAGAAGAGCTACAGAGGCCAACAAGGGTAAACAGTACAGAAAAAAACCCCTGTGATGCCATTATGTTTAAACATACGCAGAGCAAAAGCATATACTGTGTAAAGATACATTCATATATAAAAATGATAAAGACTTGGAATAGGAATCGCCAAGTGCACAGCAGTGACGACTTCTCCAGAGGACAAACAGTGGATGTACGGGCAGTACCACACAGCTTTCACTAAAGTCTTATTTTTTTAAGCTGGATCTACATTAGTTATAAAACAGCTTAATTTCTTTTTATGCGCTTGAAATACTTTAAAAATTATGGTAAACAAGAAAATGTTTGAAAGCAAGGATTTATTAACTACTATTCATATAATTTCTAATGGTTCAACATGTAAGGGGTTGAGGTAGGGAGACGACTGCAACATTGCAGAACAAACAAGTCAAGAAATATAAGCCTGTAAGAAACAATCTAAATGAAAAAACTCTTCTGGACTGGTCGCAGTGTACACGACACAACCTGAAAAACAAAATGCAAATTATTTTAAACCTTTGCTTAATGTTCAAATCTAGCTGCTGACACATTTATAAGAGAGAACGTGTATTGTTGACCCATTTTGTTAACAGGGCATGACTGCGTCCAGTGCTGTGCGCAGACCCTGAGAGACAGCGCCCACCCATCGGGGCAGGCTTTCTGACACCGGGGCTCAGTGGGTGAGAAAGGGCTGTGGAGGAGAGAGCTGGCAGACACACTCTTGGCACTTGGCTGTCATTCCTCAGAGCAAGGAAGAATCCTGGCTGGGGGCTCTTACGGCATTAATCGTATTGCTGTATGAGTCACATGCCCTGTGATGGTTATGATTGCAGCTATGCACTTGAGCATACTTACCTCATTCGTCTCTGTCCGCGAGCCCCATTTCTACTAATGACATATAAACTGGGTGCTGCGCATCTTCATATAATCTCACGATGGGTTCTGGCGCCTGAGCCTGAAATGAATGGAAAGATCTTGTTTCCCAGTGTTACCCACCATTTGGGGGCCTCAGCCTAAAAATGATGTTTTCTGACAATATTTGTTTTATTTGTTACCTGGTGTCTGCTTTATTTCAAAGGAGAGAAAAGCCATTTTCTTGGTTTATTTATAATTCAAAGAGGACACTGATGAGACAGTGGTAAAATTCTCGTCCTTAATGAGGAGCACAGAGTTTCAATAGTGGCCAGTGCCCATCATGTGCAGCCTTCAGTCATCTGTCATTAGAGGACTGTGTGTTGTTAAGCTAAATAGAGTACTTCTGTGGACTTGCTAGACTAAGACCAGGAAGAAAGGCCTGGCAACTTATGAAAAACAGCCATTACACATCCCATGGGTCACAGTGGACTGACCGGTCCTGGAGAAGGCTCAGGACGGGGCAGCACTTTGCTTTCAGCCACATATTCCCAAAGCAGTCTGGGTGGCTCTCTCCTACAGCCTATCTTCCCATTCTTTTGCTCTAGAAATGGTTAAGCTGTCCTCAAGATTTTCCTAAAAAAACCAGCTGACATCAAGTCAGTGCCAACTTGTGACCATGTGCATCAAAACAGAACTGTGTGTTCCACAGGGTTTCCAGTGGTTGGTGTTTTGGAAGTATGGGCCAAGTCTCTAACCAACGCCCCACAGGGCAGATCCTGAAGCCTGTTTCCACCACTCGGGTCAAAAGGTTTTCCTAGGTGGAGAGGAAAGGCTTTAACACAAGAACTGTTAAAAATTAATCTACATCTATGCTTAAAGTATTACCCTTTGTGCATCAGCTGATTGGACTCTGAATGTTATTCAGAGAAGTGACTATAGTTATTTTTTTAATTGTGTGTGTGTGTATCACTAACAAGTCAGTTTTACTCACAGTAAATTTAATTTTAACAGTACAATTTGCCCAGAGTTTGCAAGGTTGTAATTTTTAGAGAAACAGACTGCTACACATCTTTGTGAAACATTCCCATTTGGTAGCTGCAGAACATTTTACTACAGCAGCAGGCCTCCTTCTCCATGTGTTGTTACGTACCATCGAGCTGGAACCGACCTATGGCTGACCCTCCAGCAGGTGTGCAGAGGCTGTAAATCACACAGAGACTGTTCATCCTTCTCCCAAAGGGCAGCTGTTAGATTTGAACTGTGTGTCTTCAGAACGGCAGTGCCGCTCCTTACCACAAAGCCACCAGAGCTTGTATCCATATAGGTACATATACGAGTATTTGTCCTTTCTTAAATTTTCACTGTCAATTCTTAACTGAATAATCTACAATATTTTGTACACACAGCATTATATGTACATACATTTTCAAAAAAGCACTTTCTAAGCAAGGCTTAAATATGACTCCTTCCCTAAATCATGTGCCTTATAGGGACCAGGTAGGTATGAAAAAGGAGTGTGGCCAGTTAGGCTGAAGTGATGCCAGCGATAAAGCGCCTGCTTCCCACATACAGGAGGCTGCTGCTACGTGATCACTCTCCAGCTGGCTGCCTTTTGGCACCTCCGGTACCTGGACTCTAATACCTCAGCAGAGCCACAGGTGCACATGGAAAATTTTCCAAGTTCAAAACACTAAACATAAAACATCCTTGCAGCCCAGCCTCTATTTAAAATAGTAAGCACATTTCTATTAAAGCCAGTCTAGAGCTTCTTATAAAAACTGAAGCTGTTCATACAGGATCTACTACTACACTGAGCAATTCAGAGTGAGGACAAGTGAGAGGTTAGTGCAACTGGAGTTTTTAGGACTTTGATGAAAACATCCTTCCTGTTTTCCAGAGTCATCTTTCAAGGTGTAGCTCAAGTCACTTTCATCTCTATTCACTTAATAAATACTTGAGTTTTAACTAAGAAGTAGCTAGACATAGCTCAACACAGTTTCCTGATTTTTCCACACAGAAAAAGTCCTTGTTTTTCCCTTTTTCCTTGGGAAAGTCGCCCATGCCTGTATTGTATTACTTCATCCTATTTCAGAGGGAGCTCTTGTGGCCTAGTGGCAGGAAGCTGCACTGCAATCCCAAAGGTCTGCAGTTGAGAGTCTATCAGCCACTCCATGGGGGAAGGATGCACAATCTCCACCTGCCTGTGGAAACCCACTGGAGGGCCCACTATGGCATGGTTCCAACTTGACAGTATGCAACAAGCGGCCGAATACAAAGTATAAACATGTTAAACCACTTTTACAAGACTAGTTCAGCTGTTCCTTGAACAAGGTGAGGGATTAGGGGTGCTGCCACCTTCCCCCTAAATTAATCAGCATATCACTTCTGACTCTTCAGAAACAATCATTCATCGTTACACCTGACCAGAAGTCTTTGATGATGAACAGTAAACTCACACATTCTTTGTATGCTTATCTGTATTATGTCCTCAACCCACATAAAATCTGCATTTTCATTGCTCAAAGTGTGCGAGTCTTCGTGCCTGCTGGCACAGCTGCAGCAATGGCATCATGTATTTCCTCTTTTTTTTTTTTCACTGCGCTCCTTAGACTGGATTCCTTTCTCTGGAAGTGACAGGCTGCCCTAGTTGCAAACCTCAATCCATGGTTCATATCAAACAATTCAATTTTTCCTTCTAATGTGACTTTGCCTTTCGTGAACACTTTCAGCACCTCCTGGGACACTTTGAGTCTCTTACATTATTTAGGATCTACAGAATTGTATTAAACACAGTGAAAAATGTGGGAAACACAAGAGGTCATGTTCTACTGAAATACGTTAGTAACACAGCATTCTGAAGGGGGGGGGAAATAGATGCAAATGGTCCCTGTGGATTTCAAACCTAGTTAAAGGGTCAGCTGTGCGTACCTGCTCATCATACTACAGCTACTCTTCATTTTGGACTTAGAACTGCACAGACATAAAACACTTAAGCAGGAGTGACATCCACTTCCTAAACCACATGCCTCTGGAAACTATGAACTTTCATAAATGTCAATAGTTGTAGAGGGGCTTCAGGCTTTTTGTTCGTAGGGTCGCTATGAGTCGTGCTCAACTCAAAGACAATCAACAACAACAACTGTTAACAGAGACGTTCGAGATACTATCATGAACACTTTGGCTAAACAGTAGGTATTTACCACGGAAGAAGCATAAAGCTGTTTTCCTTGAAGACAGTCTATCATGGCCCACAGTGCTTCCATGCTCCACGTGGGACAATACGGTATTCTTGTCTTCCCTGAATCTCTTACAGGAGGTTTAAATCCTGCCAAGATAACTTTAACGGCTCGAGTTGGATACTGCATAAGGTGAAGTGGAATTTGACGCAGCCTGTAAAAAATGCGTATCAAACATCAAAATTAAAATTCTCTTACAAAACACATTATGCATCCCTTTCTATGATGGTGCTGAAAATGAAGGAAGCCCCTGCCCCTCCCTAAACTGAAGCCAAAGCAAAGGCATTAAAGGCCAAAAGGCAGTCCTGAAGGTCATCCACAGGCAAAAAAAAAAGATCTGCACGTCACCCACCTTCCAGTGGCCTAAGACGCTGAGACTCCAAAGTCAGCCCAAATACCCCAGAAGCACCCTCAGGAGAAACAAGCTTGACGACTATGCCATCATCAAGTTCTCCTGGCCACCGAGTCAGCCATGAAGAAGACAGGAGATAACACTTGCGTTCACTGTGGATGTCAAGGCCAACAAGCACCAAATTAAACAAGCTGTAAAGGAGCTCTATGACATTGATGTGGCCAAGGTCAACACTTTGGTTAGTCCTGATGGAGAGAAGAAGGCCTATGTTCGACTTGCTCCTGACTATGATGCTCTGGATGTTGCCAACAAAATGGAGTCCAGTTGGCTAATTCTAAATACAAATTTTTCTCACCAAAAACAAACAAAAAAACCCCAACAACCTCCCCCCCCCAAAATCCATTATGCAATAGCTCAAAGAAAGTACTGAACAGTGTAACAAGAGTGCAAGATTTGTACAGTGAAAACTGTAAAACAGTGTTGAAAGAAATGAAAAATTATGTAAGTCAATGGGAAGATATCAACTCCACAATCTGGATGAAATATTTGAGAATGTAACTTGCCCATGTGGACAATATACACAATGCCGTGCACAGGAAATCAACTCAAGAG